CTAAAATTCAGATTCCTGTGTCCTAACTCAAACCTACTGAACCCAAGTCTCTGGAAGAGCAGCCCAGGAATCTGCATTTTAAGGAAAACTTCAGGATATTCATAGTGAGCAATGGAGTTGGGCAATCATTGTTGTGGAGGATCAATTAGCTAAAGGGAAAAGTGGCCAATGTTGATTTGTTTCTTAGTGAATGTGCAGGAGATGTTGGTAAGTTTGGTTATATAGAGATTTTGTTTAAGACCCCACGTGTTCCTCCTAAAGATAATGTGGTTTTAATTAAGGAAAGGGGGCCTGTTTCTGACCTAATTAATTAGATCTGAGAAAATTCTCTGAGCCCCTATACTCTATAGTTACGAGAGTTGTATATGGTGTAATCTTCTATCTCTGTGCCTTTGTTTTCTGGGTCCAAACACTTTATTTGTTTTTTCCTTGGAGAAGCAGACTTAACAGAATTAATTCCAGTATTAGTAACAGAATAAATTTAAATAGCCCTGAAGAGTCATTAAAAACAAAACAAAACAATGCTAGATGAAATCCCTTCGCAAAAGTATCATGGATTGCTAAAATAGGCAAGAGTGAAGATTTTCAAAAGTTTTTTTGATCATGTTCCCATAATTTTCTTAAACAGATAGGTATAAAATTATATTGAAAGGATTTTAGGGCTTTTTTTCGCATGTGTACTTTGCTTTTCTATTTAGAGAAAATGTACCACCAACTAGACTTGTAAGAGAACAAAGAAGACATATGAGACATGAGCAGACAAGCTTTTTATAAATGCTACCAAACAAAATTAGATTTAAAGAAGGTACTTAGGTACATGAATTAAACATCTGCAGTGTTTCTTCTTTGTAATTATGTTCCAGCTTATAAGTTACCCAAGTCTATAATATGCGCTCCTAGAAAATAGACTATTTCAATTCGAGAACAGACACTTTAGTCCTAGTAGGAAGAGAAATAAGAATGAGAATGGGAAAGGAAGCAAGAATGGTAATGGTCCAAGAGTAATGTCAGAACCAGGGAATGTGCCTCATGAAAGCTGACATGTTTTTAGGTTTAAAGGAAGAAACAAATCAAGGTGAGAGATGGTTACGTGTCGAGGGGATTGGGTCAAAGGCTCCACCATAACAGGGGTAGAACCCTGGGCAAGAAGGCTAATAGTAAGTATGGATACAGAAAAGATTATATAATTAGATTTATAATTATGTCCACATTCTACCTGTAGGGGATACAGAACCCTCTGTTTAGTATATATTTTATATTCAGTTATTTTTCTTACTTGGAATTGGGATTTTTAAAAAAGACCAAATCACCTAATATACATATTAGATGAGGGGAAAAGGAAAACTACTTCTACAATCTGGGAAAAATATTCTTTCCTTAGACATCCATGAAAAATAGATGTCAGCATAAAAACGGCTATCACGGAAAAGTTGTTCTGGGTCTAGACTAGAATTGACTCCAACCTAAACAAAGGTGTTAACTTACTTAAAGAGGAAAGTTTTACTCCGAGGGACCAATTAAAATTGGTCTTGAAACAAAGAATAGGAATGAGTCACTCTAGTCGTTCTTTATGTGGTGTGACCAAGGCTGGCCAGAGTTGTGCTAGTTAGCAGCGTGGGAGCTGTAGTAGTGGTAGAGGTTGTGAGAATCATATCAAAATAATTTATACTCTGTGCTCCTAAGCTGGCTTATTTATATGGATTTGATATTTTCAATTAAGGGTAGCTGCCACCCATTGCCAGAAGTGCTTGTCTCTGTCAGACATAATGAATTATCAGAAACATAAACTTATCAGAAAAATTTCAATCTAAAATAACCAGATTATTAATCAACTCGGGTATCTTCTATGTGACAGACACTGTGCTTGGTGGGGAATAAGATCTTCCTCATGGAGATTTACAGGGTGGGTCTCTTGCTGTGGCATTTTTAAATTAGAACAGATCCATCAAACTTCTCCTGTGGGTTTGCTCATCCTAATTCTGACCCATTTCTCATTTTTATGGGACATTTGAATTCCACATGAGCCTGCATACTCATAGTACATTTTCAACACTTTGCTTCAACTAGTCTTTTTTTTTTCCTTTAAATATCACAAATTTCACCAAATAGAGTTGTCTACATGACCTATGAGCCAATGAGGGGAATTAAAGTCAAAGATCTATCTATGGCTTATCCCAACCCACAGGAGCTGGTGGGTAAATTGAATACACAGATCTGTTTCTTGGTAAAGACTCTTGGAAACAAGCACCCATCACTCTTCTCCCTATTTTCTACTCGACACAATGCAGTATTTCTACCTTGAAGTGGATGTGGCTGGCAAGGAAAGAGTTATTAGTGACCCTTCTTGGAACAAGAGACAGACACTGTCACTGGTTCTCAAAGTGCCTTTCCAGGAGGAATGTAAGGGATGTGTGGAGGCTCACGCTCACTTCCATCTGGCGCTCGGGTAACTTACAGTGATTCTCCTCATCCCATTACTACCTCCCATTCTATTTCTGCTCCTCAGTAGTCCTTCTTCCCAAGGTTATGTCAGAAGTATACATTTTGTTTGGCTTACCTGGTGCCTTTGAAGGAAGCAAAGGTAGGTAACACCAGAAGTACAAACCTCTTCTTACAGTGAGGTCACATTAACAAGTACAGTTTTATTACCACTGCTTTTTATCACCGTGTTCCTGGTGCTTACTCCTTAAATAAGATATAATGGTGCCTCATCTTTCCTGAGGCCTCAAGAGGAAACTCTCACAATATATTCAGAAAGTTTTCTATGTGTGTAGCCACATTTTTTAAAAAAAAAAGTATTTTGAATGGCTGGACACCTTCTACTTCTATGTCTATATTCTGTTCCTTGCAGGGTCCAGCCTTTTCTGCCTTCCAGTAACCAATAGCCAAAAAAAAAAAAAAATGTACATTTATTTGCAAAAACATAAGAGTCTCTCTCTCCAAGCAGCTCTGCCCACTAACCTGTCTTCTAGAAGGGGAGCAAGTCTTTTTGCGGTCTAGACTGAAGCAGTGATACAGTCTTGATTCTAGGCCGAGTCAGGCCTGAGGAGTCTAAATCACTGATCACTTTTTAGGATGGTGGGTATATATGTCAGGAATTGTGTTAAGCTGCAGGTAACAGAAACCAAATAGGAATTTATTTTTGCCTAGGTAGCAAGAAGCCTGAAGGCAGGTGGTTCAGGGCTGAAGGATTTGTCATGGCTACTTCTGGCTTCTTGCTCTGCCATCCTTACCTTAGCATGTGGCACTCATCCAAGGAGAGGGGTAAGGAAAGAACAAAAAGGATTATTGAGTCTGCCCTTTTTGAATCAGTAAAATAATAGCTTTCCCAGAAGTCCTGCCCAGTAGACTTCCACTTACGTCTCACTGGCCATAGCAAGGCCACATGCCCTCCTTAGCTGCAAGGCATTCTGGAGAGGGAAGTATTTTTAACTGGAAGCATCGTTGCCCCGGATAAAATTGGGGCTCATTTGGCAAGGAGGAAGCTCAGTGGATGGGCAGTGATCAGGATCTGCCCTGAGGGGCCACATGACACCGATCACAACCAGTTTTAGGCAACCGCCTTTTAGATAATCAGCACTGCTGTTCTGTTTCTGTGGTGGAATGGAGTGGTTTGCCTGTGGTGTTTGTTTAGGAGAGGAGGTGATGGCATGAGTGGGTCATACTTTTCCATTCTTACCGAGAACAGTGGCTCCTCCTTCCACAAAAAGAATTTTTGCCTTACAACCTGCTGACTGCCCATGGCAGGGAGGACCTATCCTCCCAGAGTTCTTTGGCTTGTGATGAAAATAGTGGGCTCCTAACACAACCACGGTCCGCAACCTCTCAGACCCGGCCTGTCTGATCTTTCCCTCTGGTCCACTTTCTATTTCTTTCATGCTCAGAAGCATGAAAAACAAAAGGGGAGTTTTTCTTCTCAGGATTATTCCCTCGAGCTTGTGGCCTTTTCTCCACCTCTCCTTTTTCTAGTGTCGCTCTTACTTCACCATGTTTTGTTTATCCCAGGGCTCAGTTAAAATGTACCCTTAATCTTTCCTCCTGCAAAAGGGATTTGGGGGGACAAATGAAGCACCTCTGACTTTAAGAGCCAATGTCAGTGTATACATTTTCGTGTACCTAAAAAACTCTGAATGGCCTTCTTTTTCATTTTATTTCCTATTCTAGGCCCTAGGACAGAGCTTCAGACTAACGGGATGCAGGCAAATGATTAAATATGGATCCCTTCAGCCTCCGGGGAGGGGGGCCGAGCCTGGTGTCACCAGGCACCCCTGCCTGCCATTTTAAGTTATAAGCGTCTCCTTCATTTAGTCCCAGTGTGTCCTACAAATAGTACCATATTCTGTGTGCCAAGGGGTCTGAAAACTTGGGAAATGCTGCCTTCAGGCCTAACCTTCAGGTCACTGTCCTTTCTATCCATACAAAAGCTTAACCACTCTCTTCTTGTATTGTTCAAGATTTACTGCCTTTGACCTTTTCTAGAAAATTATCCTTGCAGACTTGATGACTTGGTTGGTGTCCCCTGAACACCGTTCCTGGCAAACCTGTACTCTGTCTGTCTCCACTCATTTTCTTAGCTTAATGTCCCCTTTTTTTTCATCCCATTTTGGGATTTGCTTTGCTCTTCCTTTGTTTTTTTTATATTGGATTTTACAGATGGGAGTGCACCCAGCCCCTTTCTTATGATGGATCAGTTCACCACTGATGCAGCAGCAGTCGTATCCCTTGTTCTTTCCAGTTTTGTCTTTTGGTGACGTTGATTAACTGGGCCAAGCCCAGAAATGCCAACTTCCTTCAGTGTCCTCCCCAGTTCTCCTATGTCAGTGAAGAGCAGAAATGCAGGGTAATAATCAGCCGGGGCCTGGTCACCTCTAACAGTGTTCATTAATATTTCCCCCCTTTATCTTTTCTTTCCTTTATTTTAGAACTCGTATTAGTCTTTGAGCTAGGGGAGGACATACAGGTTGCAATTAAACTGAAAAGTGTTTGTTTGGTTTTTCCAGATGAGAATTCTCCAGCCAACTTCTGGGATTCTAAGAACAGAGGTGTGACTGGAACTCAAAAAGGGCAAATTGTATGGAGAATTGAGCCTGGGCCCTATTTCATGGAACGTAAGTACCAAGCGAGAAATAGAAGTTTGTTACTGAACATTCCATAAATATGCGGAAATCTAGGGAGTCTTTTCTAAATTTATTATGAAAATTTTTGCCTCTGATTTACATATTTATGCCACATGTCTTCAAACTTGGAAATAGGAAATGCTTGTTAGAGAATGTTCACATATTTTGAAAAGTATGTAAACATATATGTGTATGTATATACACAGGCACATTCCATATACCTTGTGAATGCATAGTATATAAAGCATGTTTGGCTATTTTAATACTTTACATGTTTTATGTGCCCTGGTATCTACATTTGTAATTAATATTTATTATATTAATTTCAGGGAGTAGAAAGAATAAGATTTCAGTTAAGAATTTTCTGGGCCTATAGAATACTTTGTTATTATTTTTCCCAGCAGCAGTGACTCTTGCATTTGCATCCTGGTCTTTACAATTAGATGAGAGAGTCTGGGCATGGTGACGTAGAGGTCAATTTTAAGAATCAGAAATTGGCTGCAGATAACTCAGCCGTTACCCAGTTGACCTGATGTTGTATTTATTTGTAAATATAAATGCCTATACGTAGTACATGGTTCACGGAGATCTCTCATTCCTTTTTATTTAGGTGAGGGAGGGTATTTATGTTTGCCACTAATATTATTGAGAACATAGTATGTACATTTTTCTGGGATAGATGGAAGTGTAAATGGATACTTATTTACTGGGCGGTTCAAATTAACTTTTTACATTTGGAGAATTCTTCATTAATGTGGAAAAATGGACTATTTAAAAATTTTCTGAGTTTAATTTTCATAAGAATTAAGTTTTCTGTGTTCAAGAGACTTAGTATAGGAAAGTGTGTGCATGAAGGATGGTACTTATTAAACTTTAAAATATAAAGTAAAGTTTGATGAATTGAGAACCTGCTATAAGCACGTTTTTATTGAAGTATATAAATTTCTGTCATATAAAAAGTTATTTTCAAAGATTAACATCTGTTACTTTGTTTTTTTTTTTTTTAACATCTGTTACTTTGAATTGTCATTAAAGACATCAGATCATTTCTTCCACATTCTTCCTGGTAGGTCAGCATTTCCTAACTTTCTCTAATCATCCTTCTCTCTCTCAGAAGGACTGTCTTTTTTTTCATAGTTCACTAACTGGCTAGAGTCTCTTCTGAAATCTTTAAGGGAAAATGCTCATAATATATCAATAAGTGCGGGGGGGGGGAAGCAGATAGATATAACAGTTCTAACTAATATGACACATAGGTTAAAGTCTGTAAGGAAATTTGCCAAAACGTGAACATGGGCTGCTTCCTAGGAGGTAAGATTTGGGTAATTTGTTTTTCTTGCTTATTTCTACTTTTCGTTACTCTTCCAACATTTGGCCCAGCTGGCACCGCCATCTTCTAATGAGAAAAATAAGTGATAAAAGAATGTGGGAGACAGTGGAATGGGTTGCTTTCATTCAATATAATTCCTCCTTTGAAAGGATCCCAGGGTTTAAGAGGCTGACGTAGCTGGGGAATATTGCCAACTGAACTTCAAGGGGAAAAGGCAAAACAACCTTCCTGTTCTCTCCCGAATGCCAGACTGCTAGGAATGGTGGCCTCTAGATAGAGTGTGTAGATTCCAGTTGGGGGGCCCATTTGAACAACCTGGGAAGAAGTCAGTATCACATACTGTGTGACCAAACCCCATTTACAGAGTATCCCATTTGCCGCAATTGATTTTACTTCTCCTTCCAAAAGCTTTTGAGATTTATAATGTCCTGGCCGATCACAGTATACTAATATCTCCGTCTGGATGAATGTTTTTCTTTATACCTCGTTTTGGTATTTAATAGAAATAAGCTTGACATTGAAGCTAGGAATTGGAAATGAAGAAAAGACTAGGGTTTTGTCATTGTTGTTTTATTTTCTCCTCTGAGTTCCACCTTAATTCTACACACACAAAATTGGAAATATTGTGTATCATGAATGTAAAACTGGAAATATGCAGTAATGTATTTTTGTAAGGGCTTGAGAAAAGTCGTGTGTATTGAAATCCAAGGCAGTGAATGAGAATTATGGAAAGATTTGGCTCCAGTATGAAGTTTATCTTAATTAATCAGAACAAAGTCTCCTCCAGCACATATGCCTATCCTTTCAATGTAAAAACCTCCTGTGGTATTTATATGAGTGCTTCATAGTGTGGTCTGTGTCTTTTAGACATCTTTTTTTTTTTTTTTTTTTTTTTTTTTTTTACCGTGTATCTGGCTAGAGCAGACCTAGGGGGACTTCCCAGCATAATGAAGTTTTGCTTGAATCTCTGGAGCTGATGGCATGGGACTTATAAAAAATTGGTGGGGAGGGGTTAGACAGCTTCTATATTTTCAGCCTCTGATCTTAAAAACTCATGACATTTAAAAACTTTTGCTTTCATCTTTAGAAAGAAAATTTATCTTTAGCTCATCAGAAGTTCAGGCAAAATAAAATTCTCTGAACATTGACCTAAGTTCATGGGCAAACCTTGATTTGAGCACTGTCTAAGCTATTTCTGAATGTAAAGATGGCTTTAGTTTGTCTAGATAAAGCCCCGGAGGACGCAGGCAGCCCAGACTTATATTATTACAGGGCCTACTTAAATGAATTTGAAGGACAAAGATGGTTTAATTTTGGGCAGATGACCTTCCTAGGCACTGGACAGAAGGATCAGCTTCCTCTGCACCTACTTGTCATAAGACTGTCAACTGTCAAATAGTCCTCAGACGAGCTTATGCTTGCAGAAACTGAATGGGTCATCTTTGCAGGATGTATCTTGAGTTTGGAAATAAAAGAGGTTTCAAAGTTGTCTTGTCATGCTCAGATGTCTCTGTTATTCTAGAGTCTTCTGTAGACTATGGTCATTCATTTATTCATTCATTCAGACCTGTTCTTGTCATTCCTTCTATTTATCTGTCCCATCTGTCTCTCCCCCAGGCATTATGAAGTATATATTAAGTGCCAACTTTGTGCCACATGCTATTCTAGGAGCTCACTAAACCCTAGATCAATGAATGAGCTTAGAAATATGAATAAGCATCATAGCTGTGTGCTGAACTGCTCTGTGATCGTTGAGGGATAATATCAACAAATATTGCTATTTGTATAAATGATACAGTATTTTTCACATATCTTACCTGGGAAGTAGGCAGGATTAGGAACCTGAGCATCAAGAGGCTTGTGTCAGTAAGAGCCTTGTCTCTGATTGGCACTCAGGTTAATTAATATGCTTTCCAGGATGCAGTGCCTTGCCCAAACAGAATCTTTATGGATGGCTTTTTTTTTTTTTTTTTTTTTTTTTTTTTTGCGGGGGGAGGCAGATGGTCTGGGCCTCTTATTTATACTGTCAGTCTTTGCTTTAAACTTGTCCAGTCCCAAGCCACTTCCTGTCAACATCAGAATGATCTTCTAGTCCCTTGGGTGGGGATTTGGTGCTTTTTATTTTCTATTCTCATACTTCAGGATCGTGTTCATCCTCTAATCCTATTAGGTTTATGCTACCTCCACACTGATGGTGTCTGTCTTTGATTTTCATGACTGTGTATCTGAGCTTGAGCAGAGGAGGGCTTGGCCATCTAGGCTTTATTGGCCCTTGTTAAAGAGAAGATAACTTGCAGTAACATATAAATGATAAGTTAGCCTGTCACTGGAAATGTGAGCAGATTTCCTCAAAAGCATGAGGATTAAAATGTGTTTCCTTTTTCCAGTTTGTGGCCTCTGCAAAAAAGATCCTATGAGTAGGAATCAAAATAAGAACATAAAAGCACATAGGGCAATGGTTAAAATTATGTTTTAGGATAAATTGCAGTTAGTTTGATGTTTTTTAAGATTATTCTTTTTAAATAAAAATGGTTGAAGGAAGGACATTTCTGTGCCACCCACTTTATGGCTCAAAATCTTCAACTTTTAGAAACTTGGGAAAATGCAGAGTTTCTAAAGAGGAACAATTTATTAATGACTGCCTAAGTGAATCTTGTAGTTATTTAAGGTGATGGATGAGATCCCAGTCTTTGAAACAAAAACCATTTCTCGCAGGGCATGGCCTGTAGAATCTTTCTTCAGAGAGGGCTTGAAGTGGGGTTTTATGCTAATGCCTAGAGTTAATGTAGCTGAGTTGAGATAGTTTTTAAAAAATAATTTTTGAATAGGAAGCACGGAAAAAGAGTATAATGTTGAAAAGATACAAAAGGTCAAAGTGAGTATCTCCTCAACTTCATGCCCCAGTCATCAGGGTTCCCTCCCTGAAGATAACCACTTTTACCAGTCTCCCTTGATCTGTCTGGAACTGTCTTATTCAGATGCAAATCCAGAAACAGACCGATCGCTTTAAAAATGCAACATCAGAATCACATAGTTATGGAAATCCCTTCACTTAGGATCATGGGTAGGTTCCTAAACTCTTTCAAAGTCCCTCCCTCCTCCCTGACTTCCCCTCCCCACAAAACAGATCCAAGGTGACATCTCACCAGGATCCTCCTCCCTTCTGTAGAGGTGATGGAGCTGGCCCGCTGGTGCTTGGGGGAGGTCCTCACTTGTGTTTATGGAAATGGGGAAGTTAAACATTGAAAAATAAAGGGTTTCCTATGACTTGTCAGTGTTGAAACAGGGCCTGCCAAATCTCTAGTGACTCTCTAAATGAAAGTATCCTGAATATTACTGCAAGGCGCCAAAATATATTTCCATAATTCATGACTGGCCTCAATCGTTCGGAAGGGACCTTGGAGGGAGGAAGATGCCATTTGGGTGGTACTTTCTTCCTTCCTTCCCAGGCTAGAGCAAGCCCAGCTAATGATAGGTCCTTACAGGTTAATGCAAGAAGCCTCACCCTTCTCCTGGCCTGCTGCCCTCTGAGGCAACGTGCTTTTAACAAGGGGATATTTTTTAGAGAAAATACTCTTGCTTTTTATAGTCTGAAGGAATATGTGCACACACACACACATACACACAAGCACACGTTTATGTATTTCCATAATTTGAGGCCAATAGGAGGAGATGTTGGTTGCCACATTGGGCTGTGGAGAAGCCATTCTTGGGTAGGTGGGGTCGTTCACTGCTCCTCAGTCCTCCAGCTCTCTGTTCTTATAGAATACATGTTATTAGTCTTGGAAGGAAGCAAGTGGGAGAGGACGGTTTGCTCAGATCTATGTAGCTCTTATTATTTCAGTAATAACCAAAAGCTTGTGTAAATGTTTGGCAAGGTCAGTTGGAGAGGTGTTCCCAGGCAAGTGAAGTAAGAATAAAGCTAGGATTCCTGGTAGGTCATCTTGCTGTTCCTCGAACCCTGCATGCTCATTCCTGCTTCCCTTCTTTTGCTACTCTTCACTCCCGACTCTCTCTGCTCCATTTTTCTCATCTGTAAGTTTGAGTCCAGACCAATTTGTTCCATGATGTCTTTCGGACTCCACTGTGTCCTCCCTAATCTCCATGGTCTCTATGCTCTGTTACCTTTCTGCTCTTTCTTTTTAGTACTTGTCTTTTGTATTTTGTCCTGCCTGTAATTGTCATCCTAGCAGCTACACTATACAATGCCTGCTAGACCAGAAACCTTTCTTGGATTCCCTTGCACTGACTGTCTGACATGTGATGGGTACATGGTTAAAAAAACCTTTTGCTCGATGATGCTAAATACATTGTGAATCACTGCACTGTGATTATCATATATAATCATATATATCATACTCAATATTTTACCCCATGATAGGGTTAATTTTTTGAGCATTAGTATTTTGTCATTGATAAGAAAATGTAATATGGTATTGTATTCTTGGTATATAGTATTTATAATCTTATATACATTTCTGAAAGAGAGTTTTGCTTTAATCATTCTATCTTTCTCTTAAAATAGGCAAACCAAATACTCTGTAGGAGGCTGTTTGGTGCAAGGAGGAGGGTCAATGGACTCTTAACTTCCTTGGGGAAATACATCTAGTGGCCCCACTGTAACAACCCAAGTGACTCAGTTGAGATAGGAGCTCCACTCCTATAGGCTGGAACTCTTCCCTGGGGCCTGCCCATCAGCATCATTGCCTATATTACAGGACACCTTGGAAAAAAGGGATCTTGCAGTAGCACTGCAGTGACTCAGATACTCTGTATACAGAGGAACTCTGGTGGCTGTGGGTTCTATCTTTGACACATTTTGGCTTCATGGTCTTTGAAATTGTCATTACTTTTCAAAATCAATAATTAGCATTTGTATTGTTTTTTGTCAAGCTCAGATTGTATGCACATACACACATGCATACACCTCTGGGGAGAGAGATATATTTCCACATCTCTCTCTCTCTCTCTCTCATCTATTCATCTCTTCATCTATCCATATGTATATGCCAGTGGTTCCTAAATCTGATCCCTGCCTAGTGGCTGCATTGAAGCCACTTGGAAAATTAAAGTACAGATTCCTTATCACTGCAGAGTCTACTACAGTATTCTTTTTTACTTCATTAGACTGCCTTTTTTTTTTTTTTTCTATTTCCATCGACCATGGCAGTGTGTCTGTGTTGTAGAGGTTAGGAGGAGCTAAGGCTTTGGCATGGGGCAGATTGGGTTTGAATCCTGACTCTGTCATTTCCTGTTTGCTTGACCTTCTGCAAGCCTCAGCACTTCTGTACTGTGGGGACAGGCATCTGTGCCTCCCAAGGTTGAAGTGAAGAATAAGTAACAATCAGAGCAGAGACAAAGATGGGGTGGGGTCACGTGTTGGATGGCCTCTGTGAATGGTGGCTGCTTTAAATCGTAGCCCTACACTATACATATCATGGTGTGTTGTTTTTGTGCATTATTTTTTCATATATTTGGGATGTTCTTAGAGAATTTCAGAGGACCACATAAAAACAAACAGGAGTTGGTATACTTTTTCTGATTGGAAAAGAAGGGATCATTCAGACTCATGAGTAGGATTTTCTGAGAGGTGACGGGGTGGATTTCTCGGCCAATTCCTAAATGACTTGATTCAGTGTTTAAATGATTGTTTTTCTCCAATCGATTTGCAGCGGAGATAAAAATCTGTTTTAAATACTACCACGGCATTAGTGGAGCCCTTCGCGCCACGACCCCCTGCATTACGGTGAAGAACCCTGCTGTGATGGTGAGTGCCCCTCATTGTCGGCTTCCTCAGGAGGATCCCAGGGCCTTGGTTTCTATTTTTGTCTGTGCAGCTCTGGCAGGGTTATGGGGAACAATGAAAAAGGAAATGCATAACAGCATGGGCACCCGTGTTAGGAAAGGAAGTAACTTGGCTGGACTTACCTGGATCCATAATATAAATCAGTGGAAAAATATGATTTGATTTATAACAACTCTGTAAATAGTCCACGCTTCAGAGAACCCATTCATGAAGCAAATTAGTGAGTACCTCATCAAACTTAGTCTTAAACTAAGTCTAAATTTAGTCTAGGTGACTGGTTGGGAGGAAATAGTAGCATTGTATCTTACCTGAGTTTAATTTACATGAGCTGAGTAAAAGGGAAAAATAACAACGTAAGTCATGTGTGGTTCTACCTGCCAGTCTACGTAACAAGCTTTCACCCTAAAGAGTATGAGATGGGGGGATCCCTGGGTGGCACAGCGGTTTGGCGCCTGTCTTTGGCTCAGGGCGCGATCCTGGAGATCCAGGATCGAATCCCACGTCGGGCTCCCGGTGCATGGAGCCTGCTTCTCCCTCTGCCTGTGTCTCTGCCTCTCTCTCTCTCTGTGTGATTATCATGAATAAATAAAAAAAAAAAATTTAAGAGTATGAGATGGGGATCCTGAATATGCTATTCCCTCAGAAGGTCTAAGCACCAGATCTGTTCATGCTGAGTTGGGCTCTGGTGCCTAAAGATACAACATTTTTGGTATAGCATGGCCACTCAGTGGAAGTCGATCTCTTCACACGGTCCTCAAGTGAAGAAAGAGATAATTTAATTTAGTTTTGGGGGAAACTGGTTGTGTTCAACTTTTGAAGGAAAGTATGTCCATTTTCAGCATGGTATTCTCCAAAGGATTACTTTTCACAATTTAGTGATTTTTCACTTCATTGACTAATTTTAGAATCTAACAGCTTTGCGGTATATACTCCATTGTACATGGGTGATTGGGTTCAGATGGTTTGGGGAGATTCTTAGAGTCTAAGATATGTAAAGCATTGCAGTTTCTATAAGCCATTAATAAAAATCAGGCCACAAAAGTATAGAAGAAGAATATTGATTCCCACAATATAGAATCTTTATAACAGTGTGTATGTGCACATGTGTGTGTTGTGTGTATGTATGCATTTATAGATAAATGCATTTTTGGAAATAGGTAGGTGGCCATGTTGACTCCCCAAAATTTAGAAAGTAATCTCTGCAAATGGCATTTTGAAATTGCCCAGACCCACCAATGCTGTATCATGAAATCTTTCCTTTTCATTTATTTATTCAAACAAATATTCATCAGGTACCTGCTAAGTACGAGGCATGGCACCTACCACCGGGGATGACATGATAAGCCAAAACCCAGTCCTTGCTCTCACATCTGGTGGGGACAAGAGACATTGGTTAAGTTAAACTACATTTATTTGAGTGATAATTACTATGAGAGGGAGTAAAATGGGACTATGACAGCTTATACTAGTAGGATTTATCCCAGTCAAGTAGGTCTTGGTAGGCTTCCTTGAAGAAGGTGTGTTTGCAGGACAATCTGAAGGATGAGTAGGAGTCACTTAGGTGAAGAGGGGGAAGGAAGAATATTTCAGATAGTAGGAGTAGTAGCATAAAGTCTTCAGTATCTGAATATTTCATCTCACTTTTGAGTTATATTTGAGTTCCCATGTAGTAAAACATTGTTTAGCATTTAAAAGAATAATCCACATTTACTACACAAGACTTTGAAGGTCATAAGGAGAATAATAATGATTGATTATGAAATCTGTAACATCACATACTAAGCACTGGAATATGCTTTAATTAATATTCTAAAAAGAAAAACTATAAAACTGGAAAACTGAGGTTTTTAAATAATAAAACCTTTGGGAAATTAATATTGCATGAAAGTAGACAGTGGCTTCCAAACATGATTTTCTGGCTTCAGATTTTCTTAGACCTGAGCAGTTTCAGTGATCAGATATCATTGAAGACAGCATTATTTACAGCTTGGTGAACATTGATCTCATCCCATTGATTTCGCATTGAGATTACTGTGTCAAAGCCTGTGGAGAGTTTGGAGATAATTAATTTGCTTCAGACAGGTTTTAGAAAACCTTAAAAGCTTCACAGATACACTTTGGGCCCTCAGAATAACATATTTTGGTTCAAAGGATGACTAATGAAGTTGGTAGTCAATATATTTCTGCCCCAGCTGAGACAATTGGGTCTGTAACCAAAACTGGAAGGCTGTGCCACTTGGACACCTCATGATGCTGTGTTTCTATCACAGCATGATGGTCACCTAGTTATATGACCTGTGTCTAGTTAGTGTCACTGATTGACAGCATTGACATTACAAAGCTCTTTAGTTTAATTATTCCATGACCATACGCAAACAACAGTCCTGGAAGAAGTAACTGAGCAACTCTGTAGGGAAGGAAATGAGTTGCCATCCTAATCTTACGGCCTCCTCTCTCATATATCCTTTTGCAATGAATCAGGGATTTAAAAAAGTTATGTCTTTTCTGTCATTTGTACTTTGACGTCATTGTCATTCATCAGAGTACACAGTGATATGTGTCTCAGGCAGTTGGAACAGGAAATCCTTTGGCTTTGGGGACAGATAAAGACTAGCATCACTCACTACCATGTATTGTTCCAACACTTGATTGTCGGTGTTGCTTCTGGGTTTTCCTGGAATCAATCTATGGAGTGAGTTTATTTAAAAACCTCTCTCTAAACATTGAGGGCAGATGTGTTTCTTATCATGATGTCCCTATATCTAGTGGTAATGTGTGGTCTTTCCCGACTTCATTGTCATGAATAATAAAATTGAATTCTTTGAGTATTATTTCAGATGAGCACTTGCCACAGTTGTAGTAATGAACACAATCTGTGAATTCTGTGAGAATTGTTTCACATTAGCCTTTTGTTAGATGGTGGTTTATATTTTTAGAATGAGAATTCAAAGGCATTTTCCTGTGTTTCTGTAATATCTTCTAGCATTTTAAATAGGTTTAAATGAAGACAGACCATGAATCTTTTCCATCTCCTTGAACTCGCTTAATATGGGTAGAGACATCAAATTTTTGAAGGGGACACATCTCATTGGGCAGTGTGGTCCATTGGAGGGGGGGCCATGACTTATCAGATGTCTAGCTATACCCAGGACTTGGAGGGGCAGGTTGCTGAATGTCTGTCTCAGGAGCATCCTGTCCTACCTCACACTGTTCATCACTCTATAGCCCAGGGATATATGTGGTGAAAGCAGGATGAGACAGTGACCGACATCAGTTATCTGGCCAGTTTGCTGCTGTCTCTGTTCCAGGTGAGCTGTGGATGGTGTCAGAGGGGGAACAGCACATTAGAGTAAAACATACATACTTGTTGAGAGCCAACCCAGAATTATCAAGTAGCTAGTTTTATGGGTAAGATGAAATGAAGATACCTCATGGTACCCTAGTTTATTGCAGATGACATTTGAAAACATCAGGAATCAGTTAAGCACCATACAGAATAGTTTTGATTAAGGTATAGGAAGTAGAGAAGGAAGTAGAAATTTATATTTCAAAATTTGAATGGAATTTATTTTAAAATTGCTCAGCTTTGCTTGGATTAGTGAAAGTTTTGTCTCTTAGCAGTATATGATTTTTTTAAAATTGAAGTATAATTAACCTACAGTGTTATATTAGTTTCAAGTGTACAATATAATGATTCAACAATTCTATACATTACGCGGTGCTCATCATGATAAGTGTGCTCTTTAATCCCAGTCTCCCCATCACCTATTTCACCCATTGTCCCCACCCCTCAACCCCAGCTCTCTCCTGGTAACTACCAGTTTGTTGTCTGTAGCATTATACTCTCTAGCTCCATCCCTGTTCCTGCAAATGGCAAGATTCCTTTCTTTTTATGGATGAGTAATATTCTATTGTGTACATCCACCGCATCTTTTTTATACACTCATTTATCAGTGGACACTTGCGCTGCTTCTGTATCTTGGCTGTTGTAAATAATGCTGCTATAAACAAAGGGGTGCATGTATCTTTTCAAATTAGTGTTTTCATTCTCCCTGGGCAAATACCCAGTAGTGTAATTACTGAATCATATGGTAATTCTGTTTTTAATTTTTTGAGGAAGCCATGTACTGTTCTCCACAGTGGCTGCACCAGTTTGCATTTGATGGTGTGTGATTTTTAAAGGAGTTAAGGGAGCACTACAAAAATTCGATGCAAGGGTTTAATCTAAAGTTTAGAATTAAAATGTGGTTTCTATTTCCTAACTATTCAACATTCTACCGTTTACTTCTGTACCTTACAGTATTGTGGACTTCTGTTTTGGAGAAACAGGAAACTCTTTTTTTCTAGTATGTCATAAATTGAGCACTAATTATACATAAATTGAGAGAAAGGCTAGATCTGCTATGTGGTCTGTAAATGACTGCTTTCAACTGAGATATAATCTCCTTGAGAGCTTTTAGGAGAACTTTTACAATACAATAACCAGTACAACAGCATTGCCAATTCTTGTCATTGCTACTTACAATGCCATGTACCGTGTACCTTCAGGACCATAAAATAGGAGACTGAAAGGGCAGTGGGACACCCATGCAGTCACTCAGAAATAGTTGGCAAGAGAGGAGAATCCTACAAAAACATGGATGAGTTTGATATAAATCACCTGTTTAGTATATTCTAAGTTTTCCTAATACATCTGTGTTTGATTTTTATCTTAAAGGAATATGTTAATATAGTAATAGCAACATAAGTACATTTGCTACATACCAACCATATTCTTACCAAAGAAATAAAAGAATGTGAAGCAGGTTGATTCATATCCCAGAGAATTTAGAAGTTCGTGTTGGTTTCATTTGGCGTAAAGGCTAAATTGAGGTATGACTCTTTCATCTCTGAGAATGTGTATTTATGTCTCAATTCCAAGATAGCTTATGAAAAGGCACATATGACAATGCATGTTCACACAAAAAAAATCATCATATTTGCAAACATATGTGGCTTCTTAAGAAAGTTGAGTACCATCACGCTCCTGTGAAACTTCCAATATGTGTTTTCCTTCTGCAGATGGGGGCAGAAGGCATGGAAGGAGGTGCTTCTGGAAATCAGCATTCTCGGAAGCTAGTTAGCTTTACGTTGTCAGGTAAGAATGTCTTTAAACCTGATGTTCAGTTTGAAAGTGTATAATTTCAAAGGCACAAGTGGTTATTTTTCGTTATAGATTCTCATATGTGATATATGAAGTAGTTATTTATTTTTTCAGTTATACTTCTGGAAATTCAAGTATATTTCTTACCATTAGATTATTAATATAAACTCAGGGATTATTTCTTCCACCAGATTTTCTGGTGATAAAAAGACTGTAACTCTGTACAGTTACTTTAAAAGAACACTATAATGTGCTCACCCCACTGTAGAACTTTGATCCTTGAAAACAATGTGTGCTTAGCTCTAGAGAAATTTTCTTATCTAGAGAAAGGGAAAAGTTGGAGACTAAGAAAAATAAGCCAAGGGATACTCCTGTTTCTGTGGAGAAATATACATAAAAGTTGGAAAGGTGATAAGACAAGCTTTTTTGTTTATTTTCTGGAGACTGAAATACTCTTAATTGCTTGTGTGTTTATTTAAAAAGCACCACTTTTCAGATTGTGAGGTGGAACTCATTTGTGTTTTATAAGTTTAATTTAGTTGAAACCAGCTATTCAAAAAAAGAAGAGGAGAAAAAAATCAGCGTTTTATACCAAAGGGAAATATTTTTTCATAGAACATCAGTTTATACAAACCGAACTCTCACACAAAAAGTGCACACACCTATGCATGTGTATACTGGATTTCAGAGTAAAACAGATTTCATAGGTAGGTCACGGTCAAAAAAGTTTGAAAGCTACTGATTTTAAAAAAATAACTGACACTTATAAAGGCAAGAATGCCTAAGAAACTCCGTATTTGAAATGGACTTTTAAACCAGACAACTGTGCTACGATACATACAAAATGCCGTCTAACAGAGGTCTGTCACTGTAAGATGTTTTGTTTTCATTTTTCCATGGATGCAGTACTTCTGAAATGTAAATTAGATTCCCTTTCTTGGCTGCAAAAAGTGTTGTGAATGAAAACTGACATTCTCAAGAGTGAGAGAAAACGGATCTTGAAAACAGACATTTCCATGATGCATAATTACCACATATGATGAAAGTGTACATAATAATTCATTGCTGGCCTTGGCCTTCGGAGTATCCATTTCTGTTCTAGCATGTTCCTTCCCTGCCATGTGAGATTACTTACTATGAAAGCCTTTTTTGCTATGGTTCTCTGGTGACTCTGAGAAGTCATAAACTGGTGGCTTATGGTTCAGATTTGACCAATGAGTATGTTTTGCTTGGAACCCTCAGGGTTTAAAACGTATCTAGGTTTTTAGAAGGATAGACTTACAAGGACCACTGCCAGTAGTACTACTCCCCTACCCTCATTATCTGTGTGTCTCCTCAAAACATCTATTGGCTTTAGACCTTCCTAGTCCTGAGGCTCTGCAGGTATGGAAATCCTTTATTTATAAGTAGGGAACAATTAGCCAATATCCACGGCTCAGAAAATTTAGAGTGTGACCATTCCATGGTTTTCTCAGTTTAGAAGCATTGCCCTAAGCTTTCAGGCAATCAACATCATTCTAAATATGATGTACACATACCGATTTTGACTCGAAGGGATTCTAATTAACTCACCGTAGGAGAATGACCATCTAGAAGTTGAAAATCCTAGGACATTTTCCTAAAAAAGTAGAAAATAAGCTTTGGGGCACCACCAAATGCTTCTTCTTTAAATATAATTTCCTCCAACATCCCACTTCAATACATGTGGTGGCTGGCTACTTTATAACTGTTTTATTTCCTAATATATTGTCAGATATTTGCAGATGGTGTACAGAAATGGCTAAAAATTATAGAAGATGAAAGATGATAACTGTAATTCTGAAAAATTAATGCAGTTTTAGCAGGTTGTCCGTTAATGGTAATATTTATCCATGAGCATTTAAGCACTGTCGATGGCTGCCTGCACATGTTCTACTCTTGATTATCAGTGGTAAGTAGGGACACAAATAATTGAACTCCACATCTAAAACAAAAACTGTTTTGATTAATATCTTAATCTTCTCCAAATAAGACTTTAAACTAGGATATTTCACATGTCATACCTTTGTGACTTTGAGTTTTTTGGTCAATGAGGTTATGTGGACATTCATGAGCAGTAAAATTTATAAAAGTCAAAAGGGAGAAGCAAGAGCAGAAATGAGCTGGATACAGGAACTGAATAATCAGGCTACAAGTAATTGGTAGTTTCTTATATTTATTAATGAAGACTTATTTGTACACTATTCCTTGTGGAAAAATTTGCTATGAAGGTTAATAGTGACCTCTTTTATCACAGTGACTTAATTTTCTGATGGAATGTTCTTTGTTCAAAGAAGTGCTTTGCATGAATAATTTAGCTCTGTCAGGCTTGTGGCAGTCATTTCTACACCTTACTCTTCATTTACTGTGAAGAAATCCCTTGTTTAGGGGTAGATTTAATATCTAAAGAATATTATTCTTTTGTCTTTGTGTCTGAGGTGAGCATAATCAAGAAAAGTAATAAGTATGCAAATTGTGTTTTTCTCTTAAAGCTATTTTTTGCTAAATAAAGCCAAGTGAAAACATGTAGCATTATTAAGTTGATAGTAAGAGGTAGGAGCTGTATTAATAATGACTCTGTAGCTTGTGAAGTGCTGGGAGTGGGGGCTGTAAAGCTAATGAGCTTACAGCGGCTTCTCGGACGTGCCTGTCTAGTTCCTTACTCATCATTCCCTTCTGCCACTGGTTTTTGGATCAAATATCTTACTGCATTTCATGCAGTGTTCTTAACATGAGGGCTTCTTGGTTGAATTTTTCAACCTTTGCTGACATACTAAAACCGCGTCCTGTGCTCCCAGATAGTTGTCATCAGACAGCACACTAGGCCACAAGTTCTTGTCAGCCATGGGTGAGCCTCCGCCAGGCAGCACTCCCTAGAGAATCTGGTTCTATGGGCGACCCAAGACCAATTCTGTTCTACTTACAAAGACTGTGTTTCAAGAATGGGCTTGGGGAGGCGCCTGGGTGGTGCAGTCGGTTGGCATCTGACTACTGCTCTCAGCTCAGGTCTTGATCTCAGGGTCATGAGTTTAGGTTCCACGTTGGGCTCAGCGTGGAGCCTACATTAGAAAAAAAAAAAAATGAATGGGCTTGAGTAGGGTGAGTCAGGTGACCTCCTATGATTTAGGATCATTATAAATTACTGATCTCGGTAATCGAAAGGTCTCTGAAGCTTCAGAGGCATCTGCAGAATTTCTTTCTGGACCAGTGGTCAGGACCTCCCTAGACTAATCATAATTGCATCAAGTTACTTAGAAACACTCTATTATTCCAGAAGCTGTGAAGATCACTTAGCTCTCAGGCCAATCTTATGGAAATTAATGTTCTTATTCAAATTAATGTTCTTAGAAAGATATTAAGGACCCAGCGGATCTGGGTTTATTGCCTGACATGTTTGTATCCCTTAGCCTCTTTATAAAAGTATTACTCTTCACTTACTAGACGTTAGCCAGAAGTTTAGCAGCTCACCTGGTGTGAAATAACAACTAGTGAATCTAAGATGAGTTGTGAGACAGTCATCAAATATGTAAGTTCCTAAACAGTAACTTCTTCATTACTTACTATAGCCGGTGACATTCAAATTTTAGAAACATTTCTGGTCTCCTTTTCTCCCAATATCCATTACATTTGTGGAGTATATGTGATATTTTAAATGTGGTGCAACTAAATGAGCGCACTGAAGTTTTACCCCCAATTAAACAGCGGTCTATACTTTCATATATGTATGTAGAAGATTTCATTTTTCTCTCATGAAAGAACGTATTAGCATTCTTCTTTTAAAAATAAACTGTTGCCTAAGCATTTCTCTCAAGACATTGTTTGAAAGGCCAGTTGCCAAACCATGTGAAGATGCACATGTTAGAATCAAAATGATTCCCAGGAAAAGTCAGTTTAGGTGCATAAGGTGATGATAAGTGTTTGGCTTCATTTTTGCAGTCTGTCAGGAGACCCCTCTCTGCTGGAATTAGGCCTAACTCATTTGTTCTCACCTATCTAAGCCATCATAGTGTGAATAACTTTGTTAGTGTTTTGCTGTTGTTTAACCCTCTCTCTTCCCCTCACTCCCTCTTCTCTTTTTTTCTTAAAAGATCTTAGAGCAGTTGGGCTAAAGAAAGGGATGTTCTTCAATCCTGACCCTTATCTGAAGATGTCCATCCAGCCAGGGAAGAAGAGCAGCTTCCCCACCTGTGCCCACCATGGGCAGGAGAGAAGGTCTACTATCATCAGTAATACCACTAATCCAATTTGGCACCGAGAGGTAAGATGATCCTCAGGGGTCTTCTACTTGACACTTAGGAAGCTGGCCACGTCCAGCCCTGTTCTATGTAGAGCTAACTATGAGCATGGCAAGATAGCTGACAGGTCTTGGGGTTCTGCTAGAAAGAAGGTCCGATGAGAGTGAGAGAGTCCCTTGTAGCCAGGGCCAGGTGTAGGGAAAGCAAATGAGGTACATGACTCAGGGGGCCAAAAGACTCAATAATCAAAATTAATATTTTAATGAAACGTTTTTTAAAAAAATAAAAATCAATGCAAAAGATTCATGAGGAATAAATAAAATTTATTATTTTTATTATTATTAAAATTTAAAATTTTAAGTAAGCACAGGGTCAGTAACATTGCCTTGGAAAGCCACGTTAGAGCCTGAGGCAGAAATAAAAGTCAAATTTTTATGTTTTGACTGAAACGGATACAACACTGTATGTTAACTAGCTGGAATTAAAATGAAAATTTTAAAAGCCCGCCCAATTTTTTATATTTTATTTTAGTGCATATTCAGTACAAATTAAAGGACTTTCTTTCCCTATGGGCTTTGGCAAATGTTTTTTGGATTTCTAGATTTTGGTTAATTAAATAAGCCATCCAAGAAATTGTCATTCTGAGTGAAGCTAGATTGTTGATGTGCTATGATAGATACTTCAGAGTTCCTCACTGTTACCTTATGCTACCTGTCATCTTAGTGCCCTGCATCACTGAAATCAAGCAAAGGATTTTCCCATTACTACGCAAGTCAAGGAATGAACAGAGACCTTGTTTCTCATGTAGTGAACAAAGTATGAGCTCTCCAGCCATTTCTCAGATAACCAAGATTTCACATGCTAGTGTTAGAATGGTTCTGGGAAAACCTTGTTGGCATGGGAGTTCTACAGTTAATCAGATCATTCGCTAAATGTTTAATGACAACAATCTGTTTTAACAATTTTGTAGAAATATTTCCCTGGGGAGGGAGATAATTCAGGGGATCTAAAACCAATTGGAAAGAAAGGTATGGCTATTTGAGCCTTGCCAGCACAGCAAGATGTTTCTCCTGAGAAATTCTTATGGTTATTTAAATAGATTAAATATTGCATATATTTTTACACCTGGTTTAAAAAAAACTGCTTATGATCTCCAAATAGTAAATAACACTTAAAGACACACCACTTAATTTAACGTAGTTAGAAGCCTAGAGGACATAACTTGCACCTCACTATGAGCTCCAGAAGGAACATAGTGGATATAGGAATAACTTCCTTTTCCTTAACATTTTATATCTACAAAGTTCTTAATCATGTTATCAGTGTAGGCCTAATAAGGGGGCATAAGGGATGAGCTCATCATCTATTTGTTGATTAAGAAACTGAAGCTTGAAGGGTTTATGTAACTAGCTGTTCAGAGGCAGAGGTAGTGCTTAAACTCCGCTCTCTCATTCTCAGCAAGTGCTTTTTCTGTTAAGCAGATTACTAGACTACAGGGCCCTTGGCAGAACTTTAGTAATTGTTACGCCTAAATAAACTTAGTGGTGCCTAAGTGTAAAACTGGCTGGCACCATTGGCATCACTGTGGTTGAGTGGATAATGTCAGAGAAGAGGCAAAATAGTTCAGGTTAGATTCCAGCCCCATCACTTTGTTATCCTGAGATCCTTGTCCTTGAAAGTGTTATCTTTGTAAAGAGGGTAATATATGGGAAAGTCTTTTAGATGAATAAAGCTTTTTATATTTTGTATCTTTATTGATATCCAATCTGATTTTCTCCAATGACATCCCTAAGCAAAACAACAAAGTTTATGTTAACTTTATATTTTTGTTTTTCTGTCCCAGATGAAATGACCCCATGTGCCCTTTAAATTAAGTACTTTCCATGTAAACATCGTTTTATTCTCATATTTATCAGAGAAACCACAGTATTCTTTAGATATTCCTACGTTAACCACTAAGTGAAAGTATTTTAACCTGTACTGTAAAACTTCAAAATCCTATGGGATTAGGAATTAAAATTGCCGTGAATCAAACACAGGGATAATTTAAAACCATCCTATAACAGGATATTAAATTTAAAAGAATTGAGATACAATAAATGTAATAAGTACTAAAATTGTATTGTGCACAATTTGATATTTGATAGTAGCATCTCCTAAAACTGTTGAACCAGGAAGGGCTGAATGATTGAAGGGGCCTCTTGTGAATGCAGATCCTTAACTGATGCCTTTATAATCATCATGAATGCTAAGGATTCTAAAAGAATAGGGGCAGCCCCAGGTGGCTCAGCGGTTTAGCTCCGCCTTCAGCCCGGGGCCTGATCCTGGAGACCCTGGAGACCCTGCATGGAGCCTGCTTCTCCCTCTGCCTCTGCCTCTCTCTCTCTCTCTCTCATAAATAAATAAAATCTTAAATAAAAAAGAATAAAGGATTGACAATGGCTGCAGATATTTCTAGCAATGCGGATTCTTAGGTTATTAGGATTTAAGAGATACCATTTTCTGTAATAATAAAATGATATAATTTCATATTCGTCTTTCTTCTGAATCAACATGTTATCTGTTTTTGTTTTCAGAAATATTCCTTTTTTGCACTTCTTACTGATGTCTTAGAAATTGAAATTAAAGACAAATTTGCCAAGAGTCGTCCCATCATCAAGCGTTTTCTGGGGAAACTAACCATTCCAGTCCAGAGGTTGCTGGAGCGGCAAGCCATTGGGTAATCAGCCCCCACTTGTAGGGATCTTGATATTAGTTTGCACAGAAGCAACTGAAATGAAACGTTGTAGTCCTAGGACTTTTCTTACTGATAAGAAGTGGTAAGATAATTCTTTTAAAAATGAAGGTGTTTGTATACTCCTTAAACTGTGCAGAACCAAAACACTTTGTTTTCATTATATACCTTTTATTTTTTTGGTGTCTTTTCCAAGATGTACCTACCATTAGCATTTCAGCATCAAATGTCATAGGACTCAGTTGTCTTTAAGTATATTGGAATCTGTCAGTAAAAGCCTTTCCCTGGCGCAGGATTCTAATGTCAGGTTGACAGCTCCCTTCTCCTAACTAATCCCATCAGGACAATTCACTATTCTGGAGAAAACAAACAAACAAACCACCTTGTTGTAGCACCGTTTAAAACAAGACCTTGGCTCATAGGAGGTACATTCATTCATTTAGACAAAGTTTACTCATTGAGAAAATTTTAAAATGTGATTTGATGGGTTCTCTTTCTGCAAGCTTTTTGTAAGTTGCGAGTAAACTAGTTAAATCGTAACATCCCTTATCATAAATGGTGTGTGTATTTTTATGTGGTCGTTTCCAACAAACTCAGTAACAGTGCTGCTCTGAGGTAGCACTAGAGGATACTTTTTTGGTATCTTTTTTATTGTAGGAGAACATTACAAACATACAGCAGCAGCAGTAGTAGTAGTAGTGGTGGTGGTGCCACCATCTTGTTTTGTGTCTTCTTCATTCTGAGAAAACATGAACCAATGGTGGTGGTAGTCATAGTAGTAGTGGTGGCAGCCGCAGGTGTAGCAGTAGCAGCAGATGTGTAGTAACAGTAGTGGGTAGCAATAGTAATAAATAAAAATAAACAAAAAAGATGCCTAGAGCTTATTCTATGTCAGGGGTTAAGTACTTTATTCTCATTAACCCATGTAACCCTCTCAACAGCTCTGGGAGGTAAATAGTGTGATTAGACACATTTCAGAGATGAGGAATCTGAGGTTGGTGAGCAGGATGTGGAGCTGGGATTGAAGTTCTGATCAGTAGCAACACTTTAAGGTCGAGCAGCAATGTGTTGTTATCCCAGCTAACTAAGGAAGGTTGATCATTCATATTCGCTCTGTCACTAATGAACTGTTCTATTTTGACAAGTCATAATTGACTTGGGCATTCCTCATCTGAAACATACAGTGTGCAGAGCAGCTGAACTCTAAGGCCCCTTCAAACTCTGAAACTAAGAGATTCTTATGGAGTCTGATGGTCTGGCCATCAGAGACAATGGAATTGGTGATTGAGGCAGCACAATAAAGTCGAATTATTATACTGAAATTCTAGCAGCCTGGATTAACTGATAAAAGCTAGGAAATTCCACCTATTGCTTCTAGTAGAGATAATATGCATTAGGAAGTTTTCTAAAAGTTATTTTTCAGACTTACAGAAAGTGAAAAATTTTAAAGAGTAAGAACTATGGTAAATAAAGTATATCTACAATTTAATTTATATAATTATCATCATATAATTTACAGAATCTAAATGACACTTGATAAAAGTGTGACTTTATATACACCAGTAAGAATGATCAAGGCAAAAATAAAACCTTTTCAGTGCGTGAAACTGTTTTTGACTTGCTTTTCATTTAGTCTTTTATACAACCGGATACTTCGGGAACTGCCAGTTGTGAATTTATGTGGATTAGATGGAAGTCCAGCATGAATTTGTAAAATGTTAGAATTATGAAATGTTCCTGTATATTAAAAACATTGCCTGATATAGATACTTGAGGATTTTCTTTATTAGATAAGAATTTTACTACCTAGCAGTATATTAGTTATTAATACCTAAATATATATATTCCTGATCTGATTATTGCTTCCACTAAGTAATTGATTCATCTTGTAAAGGGCTGAGTTTTCGTTACTTATGTGTTTGGTAGATTTTAACCCTCTGATGTAGTTGTGGTTTTATACAGAGTGTGGCTTTGTGGGATGAACCAGAACTCCTTACTAATCACCTATTTTGAGAGCATTTGTTTGAATGTGACATTTTTCAGAGAGTGATGGCTCACGTCCGTCCAAAATGCACATCACTTTCCCATGCTTTGTCAATCTCTCTGATGACATTAGAGAGAGAATGCGTCAGGTAGTGAGAGTACTTTGTCACTTATTCTTCATAATTGTGCATTATAATAATATATTATATATTATATTGTTCACAATAATATATCACAGCAAGAAGCAGGATGAGTCAGATGAGACTGGATAAGAAAAAGAAGGCACAAAAATGAAAAGAGAAAAAAACTCAAAAATGAAAGAAAAGAAAAAATGCAATAAAATAAATAAAGAAAGAAAGAAAGAAAGAAAGAAAGAAAGAAAGAAAGAAAGAAAGAAAGAGGCAGGCAAGTGACTCCTCTGATAGACTCTTAACAAAGGATGAAACCCTTGACTCAGAATCTCTGAATAGGAGGATTTCCTGTATTTATAGGTTGAATAGTTGAATTGAGTATCTGGCCGGTTTGTTTAGTAAACAGCACCAGTACCTGTTAAAATTCTTCTTTCCAAGCAAAGAGTCTCATTAGTTAATTTATTTAACAAATATGTGTATACATATATAGTGTCTATTAAATGCTAAATGCCGTATTGGGTATTGGGAGTATGACAGTGAGCAAAACCGATGGATACTGTTCTTTTCTTACAATTCCTCCAAAGCATTTATTTCCTAGCTAAAATCGATCACTTTCATTAATTATCCATTATCAACACCAACACTTTGTTTTTACTGGCCGAGGGGGAGATAATGAGGGCCAGTTTATTTTTAACAAAGAAATGAAGGTTTTATTATTCCAGGACTTAATGTCCAAAGAAGTGAGCGAGGAACCACAAAGTTGAGGGCAGGTCCATGTAATTGCTGCTAGGTTCATGCATTAGTGGGCAAAGATCCAGCACCTCTATGTGTTAGGCACTGTCTAAATTCTGAGAAGACAGTGGTAGGAGAAAGAAAAAGACGCTCCTGCTATCTGCAGATTATAGCCATTATATAATGTTATTTGAACACTTTAATGTAAAAGTAACATGACTATACTCATAGTAAGAAATGCCTGTCAATCCCCTTGCAGAAAAGATTTTTTAGAAATACCAATTTAAGTAGGAAAGGCATTATTGTAATAGCACATTTAAACGAGCCATGAGTAAATTATATCATTAAACTGTATGCTACTGACAGCAGCATAGAACCACCGAGAACACAAGATGGTAGTATGGTGACTGCAGAGCAGGGACTTCTGTGTTGGAGGAATCTGTTCTAATCCCAATCCTGTCACTCAGTACTTGTCTGGCCTTGGACAAGTCCCTTACCCTCCCCATGCCTTGGTGTCCTCTAGAAAACAGCTGCCGCCTGCCTCGCAGGGTGGCTGAGAGACAGTGCAGGCAAAGCCCTGGGAGTGTGCGTAGCATACACGCACTCAGATTTGGACACCAGAGCATTTTAAAAGCATCAATTGAGACAAAAACTATTAGTGTTTCTAGGGAAGAAAAGAAAAAGAAAGAGGGAAAGGAAATAATCTTACAGTTTTAAGAAATCCTTGCTAAGAAGTCAGAAAGATCCCCAAGAGCTGAACCGGGACTTTATAGTCACACCCGTTCTTTTAAAGGATGACATCTATTGGGATGTCCTTTGGAATTTGTCGATTTGGAATTGTACTGAGAAGGTAGAGACGAACAAACAAAACCATTACATGCATTAGTAATAAATAGACTAGTGGCTCTAAACTGGCCTGTGCAAGTAGGAGGCAGAGGCATGGTTTCCTCCTGAAGTTGCCAGTAGAGGGCAATGTGAGAGCAGAGATGGTGTGATTTCCTGCGATCCCTGTCATTAGTGTCCTTAATGAAGAGTAAGTCTGATTCTGGATGAAAGTTGCTACATACGAAGTAGTGATGGAATTGCATTTGACTTTGATGAGATAAACACAGAATTGAAAAAGATGCACAACTCCATCCTCCAGGAGGCTGGTAGCCCAATGGGGGCCCAAGGTGGGACATCTAGCTTCTCCATCCACATCTCTTGCCAGGCACACTGGCAATCAGTGACAGCCGGGCTCCCGACAGTGGGAGGCCAGCAGCTCCAGTCCCCTTGCTGTACAGGTGAGGAGGGGAGGTTCGGCAGCCCCCTCCTTCCCCCAGCTGAAGCCGCTGTCAGAGGCAGCCTCTTCTCACCCTGCTGTCTCCCTACTTCCAGGTCCTGCTCCTCAAGTACAGTAGCACGGTGCTCCCCATGCCATTGTGTGATTGTCCTTATCTCCTGTGCCCTGATAGGACCAGTTTCCTATTGTGCTAATTGCTAAGGAGCCAGGCCCTCTAGGCTTTTATTTATACCTGCGTCCCCAAATACCAAAAGCTGTATGTAGGCCTTTTCCAGCTCCTTGATGACCTTCAGGACACTCTTTTCCTGGTCACTGTTAGCCAGTGAGAGAGCCCTTTAAAAAAAAAAAAAATCATATGAAACTGTGTTGCATTTTCTGTTTATAATAAGATTTTTTTTCATCCTGGGGTTTAGAAGGTCTTCCTTTGTGGGAGCGATTCCTATTACATTGGACTATAACATACTTTGGAGCATTTTATTTTCTTGTGAGCCTGCAAGTTTTAAGGGAGACATGTGAGATTGCGGGGGGGGGGGAGGCTGCTGGAGGAGGTGAGGGCTGACAGCAGCCTAGTAAGGAAAGAAACATTTCTCCTCCTGCAGGGACCAAATGCTCAGCTACAACCTTGGCCGGAGGCTCCCAGCTGACCACGTGAGCGGCTACCTCCAGTTTAAAGTGGAGGTTACGTCTAACGTGCACGAAGGTGAGCTATCTGTATGAACAGGTCGCTGCAGGACAAAAAAAAAAAAAAAAAAAGAAACTTGTTACAGCTTATTCAGTTGTCAGATTGCATTTGAACAGAACTGAATTTCCGTGTCCTGAAAATAAAGTTCCTAATAAATAAGTAATTACCTCCTCAAGTTTTCCAGGCCCATATGAAAGCTTCTTCATCAAGAAAAAAAAAAATCTGTCTTAGGTGTACACCTGTGTTTGGAACCCGGGTGATAGAGTTTGTCGTGACAGTGAGCACACACACCAACAGCCGCTCGTTTGCAGGGACTGCGGATGTTGGCAGGGCAGCTGTGCTGTCCAGGGGCCTTTGAGATGCCTGGTTCAAGGGACTGTGCGGTGGCCCAGGCACAGGGCCTTAGACGTTTGTTGGTCACCCCCCCCCCTTTCCTTTTCATAACTGCAGTTTTCTCCTCCAGATGCTTCTCCAGAAGCCGTGGGCACAATCCTTGGGGTGAGTACGGTGAACGGAGACCTGGGAAGCCCTTCTGATGAGGAGGATGTGCCAGGGGGCCCCCAGGACAGCCCCGTCTGCGCCAACGGCCCGGTTTCGGAGGACAGCGCTGCAGACGCGACGCCCAAGCGCGCTCTCAGGACTAGCTCCACGCTGGACATGGACACCGAGGACCTGAGCTCCGCCGCGTCCAGGGCCTCGCCCCCCCGGGGCCGCCAGGATTCGCTCAACGATTACCTGGACGCCATCGAACACGGCGGCCCGGCCCGGCCCGGCGCGGCCGCCTGCCCCGACAGGTCCCTGGGCGCCTCCCCCAAGCTCAGGAGTAGTTTTCCCACCGACACGAGGCTCAACGCGATGCTGCACATCGACTCCGACGAGGAGGAGCACGAGTTCCAGCAAGGCCTGGGGTACCCGGGCTCCCCCGAGGAGGACGAGGAGGGCGGGGGGCTGGTCATGGCGGGCAGCGCACCCGCGGGCCGGACCCCCCAGGCCGGGCCGCAGGGCAGCCCCGCGGACGGGGCCGGGGCCTTGCACGCCGAGGACAAGCCGGGCCGCGCCCCCGAGCCCGAGCCTGAGCCCGCCGCCGCCGAGGGCGCCCCGGACGCCGAGCAGCTGGCAGGCGGGGCGGAGCCGGGCACGCCTGACGCCGAGTCCCCGGAGCAGGAGCCGGAGCGGGAGCCGGAGCGGGAGCGGGAGCGGGAGCAGGAGCAGGAGCAGGAGCAGGACCAGGCCTCCTCCGAGACCGAGCCCAGCGACCCCGCCCCGACCGAGAGCGCGAGCGCCAGCGAGGCCAGCACGCGGCCCGAGGGCGAGAGCGACCTGGAGGGCGCCGACGGCCCCGGGCCCTGCGCCCACCCGCCCGAGGGGGAGGCGGCGGCGGAGGAGCAGGAGCAGGAGGAGCAGGAGCAGGAGCAGGAGGAGGCGGGCGGCGAGGAGCAGCGCGGCGCCTGCGGAGGCCCCGCCGCGCCCCGGGAGCCCGCCGCCCTGCCCGCCCTGCCCGCCGTGCAGGTGCCCCGCGGGGCCGGGGCCGGGGATGCGCCCGGGGCGCACGACGTGTGGCGGCGCAGGGGCAGCCTGCAGGGGGCGGCCGAGCGCGCGCGGGAGGAGCAGGAGCAGGACGAGCAGGAGGAGGAGCGGGAGCAGGAGCGGGAGGAGCGGGAGGAGCGGCAGCCCGAGCCCCAGCCGGACGCCGACGCCCCGGCCGCCCGCGGAGCCTGCGAGGGGGCCGCTGCGCAGGAGGAGGGCGCCGCCGCCGGAGGTAGGATGCTCGCAGGTAGGATGCTCGGCCACCTGCCGCCCGCGCTGCTGCCCTCGGGGCTCGGGGCGCCGATCCACGCTGAGCTCTTTTTTTTTTTTTTTTTTGAAATAAGCTTGTCAAATAGTCTCCAAATGTATTTATTCTTAAAGATTTTATTTATTTATTCATCAGAGAGAGAGAGAGAGAGAGAGAGGCAGACTCCATGCAGGGAGCCCGACATAGGACTGATCTCAGGGCCCCGGGGTCACGCCCTGAGCCTAAGGCGGCGCTAAACTGCCCAGCCACCCGGGCTGCCCCCACCCCCACCCCCCCTTTTTTTTTTTAAATGGATCTTCTATTTTTGAAATAAATCTGTCAAATAGTCTCCTTATTTATTTTTAAAGATTTTATTTACTTATTCATCAGAGACACATACACAGACACTCACAGAGACGGAGAGGCAGAGACACAGGCAGAGGAGGAAGCAGGCCCCTTGCAGGGAGCCTGACCTGGGACTCCATCCCGCGTCCCAGGGGTCACGCCCTGGGCCCAAGGCAGGCGCTCAACCACTGAGCCCCCAGGGCTGCCCCAGTCTCCACATTTAAATGAGTCTCCAGTGTGGACCTGGGTCTGTAGATACAGAACCAGGCAGGCTGGCAGCTTTCAGATCAGTGTCCTGTGCAGAGGCTTTCAGGAACACCTTAAGTCCCTCCTCTTTGTGGAAAAGCTTCAAAGCAGAACTTCACACGTGCTTTGCATTGATCTTAGCATGTTTGACTTAGGCAGTACGAAAAATGTTAACCTCAGACGTGGTGATGCCTTCCAACCCCTGAAGAATAAGCTGTTTTGGTATCTGAGCTTGCAGATTCACACCTAGAATTTGTATTGTATCTCAGTGATCACGGCTGGTAGCACATTTCCTTTGAAATGTTCTCTTACAGATGCACCAGGAAGGCCGAGGATAGTTTCACAGGCCTAAATTGCACAGACTCAGAAATAGGAATGATTTTCTTATTCTGCGATTAGTTTTCTACCTGAAGCATTCCCTTCTTCTTCTCCTTCTCTTCCTCCCCTCCTTTAATTTTTGTTTTTTATATTCATCATCATCATCATCAGCATCAGCATCATCATGCTATGACCTTAAAGCATCAGTGTATGACCAGGACCGGCCAGGGTGGGAACCACTGGGACCCCTCCCCAGGGTGGTGGGGAGGAAGAGGGATGGAGACAGGGAGACGTTTCTCTAGGGACTCTCTTGTGGCTAAGCATTCACCTCCTGTTCTTTTCTTTTGTCTCTGGGGCCTCATATGGAAAATGAGACTAACGAGAGAAAAGAGACTAGCCCCAGGATTTGTGTTAGACAGTGGTTGTATTGTCGTTTGGTTTGGTTTTTCACAAAGGATGTTTTGACACTAAAGCAGAAAACAATACCCAAGTATCTTTTTCTCTTTAATCCTAGATTCTCAAGCCAATGGCCACCAACCATTGAGATCGTTGCCTTCGGTGCGCCAGGACGTTAGCCGCTACCAGAGGGTGGATGAGGCTCTCCCACCAAGTGAGCACCTGTTAACTAAGAGGTTCACCTTGATCAAATTGTGTGAGGATGACAAGCAGATTCTTTCCATGGGGCCTAAAAGATGGATACCCAGTCCTAAAGAGAAGGAGATCGGGGCTGCCACTTGACAGAGCAGATGTAGACTGGAAATTGCTAGGCTGATGACTCCTCTCTGGCACTGTTCTGCTGAATGAGTGGGCAGCTGGGGGGAAAGCACATACTGCAACACCCATAGACTAAATACTGTAATTGGAGAAACAGATCCAGATATTTGGGACAGTTGGGTTTATAGGAGAAAATTCTTGAAGTTATGCCTAACAGCAGCATGAACACATTGGTACAATCTCTTAGAAAAGCCTCACTCTATGTGATATACTTCTTTCTGTTCACTTATAGCATTTTAAGTCGTTAAGTACAGTGTTCTGATTTTTTTCCTTGGGGATATGCAGAGAAGTGTTAATAATTTCAGAAATTGGTCTACCTCTTATTTGGAGTATGGCAGTTATCTGGGGTTTTGAAAGATACGTCATTTCTTTCACTTTCAAGAAACATGTAACACATAAAGGGAGGATGGTTGAGGATGAGGGATTCTGGGAAATGGTTGGTACAACCTGTATTCAAAGATCTAAGTGATACCCATGGCTAGTTATAATCTGAATATAATTTAATCTCCGTTTAAATGTCTGGGGTCCCTTAAAGCAATATTGCTTTGTCACAGCATTTTGATGAACAGGAACAAAGCTCAGTAAGTACTACTTGTAGGAACATATTAGAAAATGTATCTTCCTGCATTATTGGTTTTCCTCATTGTTCTCTCTCTCAGCTCCTCCACCTCTTGATCATAGCAACAATAGGCTGATACCCTGGGCCTTCTGTATTTTAAAAGTGGTGGGACATCAAGGCAGGGGTGCGGGAGTATGCATTTGTAGGGCTAAAATGTTGAGTGCTTGGTTTTGGTTTGTGTTTACAAAAAGGCTGAATATGTACAATTGGTCAAAATATCAGCTTGATCCTTTGGAAATTCTGTTGTGTATAGCTCCTCCCCTTGTTCATGTATTTTGATAATTGAAGGTGGTTATTTATAGGAAATATATATTTTAAGCAACTTTAAAAATAGACCAAGAGAACAAGTAAGCATTGCGTCATCTCACATAGGCCGGGGAACAAAAAAATGTCCTTATTGTTTACTCTTGGAGAAAAGATTAGAGACAGAAAAGAAAAATATTTCTGGGAGATACTTAGATCTAATAGCGCAAAAAAGAATTGGAAACATGAGAGAATTCTGAAAGAGCTTTGCTTACATGTGTATGTGGATTAATAGTAATTCGAGTTTCAGAGGCGTTGTGCCACAGTAGAGTATGGATAGATGCCTCTTCCTGGCCACATCTAATTGCTCTGAATTTTGTTGAACCATAATTTCGGTCTCCAGATTGCATTTAATAAAGACAGGTACTTGCCTGCTGAAATTATGACTACTATTTGTGATCTTTCAGTGCATTTGTTTAAACACTGATATTTGCATTACACAATATATTTTAGGATTTAAAAAAAATAAACAATTGGGGGCACCCATGGCTCAGTTGTTGAACATCTGCCTTTGGCTCAGGGCGTGACCCTGGAGACCCGGGATCAGTCCCGCGTCAGGCTCCCTGCATGGAGCCTGCTTCTCCCTCTGCCTGTGTCTCTGCCTCTCTCTCTGTGTCTCTCATGAATAAATAAAAAGAATTTTTATTAAAAAGAAAGAATCATTTTAGCCAATTTCTACCCATTGATCCACTTGACCAACCTCACAAAAATGTAACAAAGAATAAAAAATAAAGCATGTAAAAGTGCTCTGGAAACCATAAAGCACCACACAAATTTGAAGTTTGAAGTGTCTCTGCCTCTCTCTCTCTCTGTGTGTGTGTCTCTCATGAATAAATAAATAAAATATTAAAAAAAAATAAAGTTTTTCCTAAAACTTTATTCCTAAAACTTTCCTAAAGTTGCCTTTCCTAACTGGGCAACTCTGCTACCACGTCGGGCCATGCCTCTGATTTGGAGCTATGGCATTCCACATTCCACACTGTCCTGTGCCTTTCGTCTTCACGTAGTGTCTCCCGGGAGGCTTGGCTGAGGGGCATCTGGTTTGAGTATACAGATGAGTCCATCCCTTAAATGCCCTGGCTGGATTATTTTAAGGCCAAGAGTTGTATTTTTAACACTATTAATTATAATACTTCAAACTTGTGTGGTGCTTTATAGTTTCCAGAGCGCTTTTACATGCTTTATTTTTTATTCTTTGTTACGTTTTTGTGAGGTTGGTGAAGTGGATCAGTGGGTAGAAATTGGCTAAAATGATTCTTTCTTTTTTTAAAGATTTTATTTATTTATTCATGAGAGACACAGAGAGAGAGGCAGAGACACAGGCAGAGGGAGAAGCAGGCTCCATGCAGGGAGCCCGATGTGGGACTCGATCCTGGGACTCCAGGATCACACCCTGGGCCCAAGGCGGGTGCTAAACCACTGATCCACCCAGGGATCCCCTAAAACGATTCTTTCATTTTGTAGTTGGAGAAACTGAAGCCCAGACAAATGAATTTACTTGTTTAAGATCCCATACTAGTAAAAGTTGAGACAGAGTCTTAAACCTTCCTTCTCTTCTATCAGATATTCTAATTTAAGATTAGAAAGGAAGGGACTATTCTGTAGGTAGATGAATATAAATTCTGGAAGTTTACTTAGCATCAGAGTAGTGGCTTATATTGCAGTATGTTATGTATTAGGTGCAGGATCATCGTACATCAGGGGCAGCCCGCCTTCAGCTCGGGGTGTCATCCTGGAGACCCGGGATCGAGTCCCACGTCAGGCTCCTGCATGGAGCCTGCTTCTCCCTCTGCCTGTGTCTCTGCCCCCCCCCCTCAATCGCTCATGAATAAATAAATTAAAAAATCTTTAAAAAAATAAAAGATCATCTTACATCAGAAGCTTTGGGGGTTTCATTCAAGCTTTATTATATTGTACTGTCCCAGACAGGTTTGCTTTGTTAAGCATTTGTATCAGACTCAGAAGGAGTTTTTCATCCTTCCCACAACCCTGTAGTGCAAGCTGCTGAAACACTGTACCTCGGGCTTTGATGCCTGTATGCCATTCTTGATTCTTTTCCTAATTATTATTGTTATTTGAACTTATTTTCACCTTAAGAACACTTATATACCAACATATAGTGAGGAAACCACCCGGCAAAAGTATGCTTCTCTCTAAAGATTTACAAACTCAGTTAAAGGGATTCAGTGGGTATATCCCTTCCTGTCCCTTTTCGCTGTTAGAGCGATCGTGTGGCTGTCTATGCATCGGTGTTGTCACTTAGTTTCTGGACATCTATTTGGTCTCTTTTTTATGTCAAGCAGTTTTCCTCGTTTGTTTGCTGCTTCTTCCAATCTTACTCCTCCTCCCATCGCTTCTCGGCCTTTTGGCTAAGATCAAATGCAATCTTACTCCTCCTGTCTCTGGATCAGGGAACTGATCTTGGACTTGGTACAAAGACTACACAGCTGTAATGATGCTCTACCAATTGTTTTCAAAACCTTACTCTTGCTTTAGGCCATGGACCCTGTGATATGACCTCGTGAGCTACGTAACACCAGCCCCTGGCTGAGAGATGTTCTAATGATGCATACAACATCACAATGCTCCGGGTCTTCAGGGCAGCCTGTAGAGCCCTCCCTGGAAGGGCTTAAATCTGAATACCCACTGAGTGCCTTAAGAATTTGCCTATCGACTTCTCAGGTGATTGATGGCACCGACAGATAGAGGTAGCTGGGGGCTGAAGCGCCCTGGAACATCATCAGCCTGACAAATCTTGGTCATTTTAGCATTAAGATGAGCGAAAAAAGAATGATCCGCTCAGCCCTTTCTGAAAAACTATTTTATTTTTCTTACTGGGCCCAGTATAATTGTGACTTAATTCCTTGTCATGCTGGGGACGATAAGGAACTGTTGAGTAAGTGTTTTTCCCCAAAAGGGTAGAAATAGGATTAGATTCACAAAGAACCATCTAGATTATTGGACTCTTGTAGGATCCCAGGATTATTGCCACGTTATCAGGTCCGGTGTACTACTTAGGTGGCAGGCTGAAACGGGGGAAGTCTGGAAAAACACTGGAGAACGTTTATCATTTTTTTTTGTGGTTGCGCACTTTCATTATGAAAGCATCCTTTGAAATGAACATTTAAAGGTGGCAGCGAATCATAATTCATCTAGCTTTCTACTATGGGGAAGGGCTCATTTTCTAGAGCTAAAAGTTAGTTTAAGAGAAGAATTGATACATTTAACCTAAAAAGGCACTCTCTTTAAAAAATGACTGTTAAGGTCCACTAAATTCAGCTGTTTGAGCTTGTTTAAACTTTTTATTTAAATGTAATATTCATACATAAAAGAGCACATTCTGCCCAAACTGAGTGTACATGTGCACCAATGCCATGTCCCTGGCCCCTAGAAGTCTCTTTGTGCTGGCTTTTGATCACTAACCCTAACTCCGATGAGGAAGTAGGCCTACTATGCTGACTCCCAAAATCATAGATAAGTGAACTTACTTTTGTACTTTGTACAAATGGTATATACCTTCTTGAGTGTTAAAATAAGGAAAAACTCTCTCTTCTTCTTTCTCTGTCAAATTGGTAAATAAAATCTTAAAAAAGAGAGACTCCTGGGTGACTCAGACAGTTAAGCATCTGCCTGCAGCTCAGGTCACGATCCTGGGGTCCTGGGTTTGAGTCCAACATCAGGCTCCTTGCTCACCAGGGAGCCCGCTTTGCCCTCTGCCTACTTGCGCCCCGTGCTTGTGCTCTCTTGTGCTCTCTCTGACAAATAAATAAAATCTTTTTTAAAATAAATGAAATAAGGAAAAACTAATCTTTTAAACACTACTATCCAGCATCTTCTACAAAAGCTTAATTTTTTCCCTTAGAAGTACCTTTAGATCGTTACAGCTTTATCACCTCACTATGTGGTGAGTGAGATATTTCTTATAGTGGCTTATACATTTTCTTCCCAGTGTTCAGTTTCCTCATCTTTCTAAGCCCAGTTATAACTAATTCAGGTCCCACTCGTGATCCTCTCTCTCACCCTTTTGGTTCACGTGGTTCATGCTTCCCCTGAAATGTCATCCTCTCGGTCTAGTCATTGATCTTCTCCCCAATCTCAGCACTCTCCCAGAAGTGTTCACGGCTTCATTTCATTATCAACTGTACAGTCCAGCGGAGACCGAGGTCTAGTGTGAAGGGACTTGGAAAGAAGCCTGATGAGGTGAAGAGGGATCACAAGGACGACCCCTACTCCCTTCTCACATGTGCTGATCTTAAAATTTGAAGATGATCTTCCCTGCTCTGCCTCCCTCCGGCGCCCTGCTTAGGTATTAACGCTGTGACAGTGGCCTTGGCGTACATCCACACACTTTCAAACTCTGACTTCCCCTTATTGTCCAGCTCTTTAAGGGGACTGTTATATTTGAGTCTTAGGGCATCTATGAGTCCACTTGCTCCTGGATTTCAGTCTGGAGTATTTAGGATGAAGTCGAATTCCTTGTGAGCCCATACTTTGCGACCTCTGAGAAGTCTAGCATTAGCTTCATGCGTTCACCTAGTAAACTAGCTGCTTTAAGTTCTTATAAATTTATGTCAGTGTTCCTCAAATTTTAGTGTGTCCAGGAGCCACTTGGGAAGGTTGTCAAAAATGTAGACAACTGAGTCCTAGCTTCAGATGGTCCTATTTTGCACATCTGCGGTGTATCCTGAGAATCTGCCTTTCTGTTGATCCTCAAAGTGATTCTGATACATACTGTCAGAACCCCACAGCTTGAGAGACATTTCTGTAGATAACAGTTTTCAAACCTGTTAGTGCTATAAAGCTTTTTAATGCAAATGAAATCTTATGTGGAAGACCAGCAGGCCTAAGAGGTAATATTAGGGCTACAGTGGCTGACCTGGAGTTGGCAGATGGTTCTCAGGACCTCAGAGCCCCTACAAGGCTAAATTAATGAGAATTTAGTTTGCAAATTCTGGCCTACACATAAGATCTCAATAGGTTCTTATTAAACCTGATGTAGAAAACTGGATGTCATTTTGAAGATTCTAACAATTTAGAGTTAAAAGGGATCCTAGCAATACATAATTCTGCCCTCTAATTTTTCAAAGAAAAAGTGAAGAAACTGTGGTTCAGAGGTATAGTGATTTGTTTAAGGTCATGTAGCAGAGGTGTGACAAAGCCATGGCAAGAAACCCATGGTTTGGGGTTTCTCTTCCCAGTTTGGTGCACTATATATATACGCACCCCAGTCAATACATTGTTCTTAGACTTGTGGCGCACTGATTGTACACCCAGTTTTGCAGTGTGGCGAGATGAAGTAAATGCCAAGTTTCCAGTCTTCTAATCCTTCCTGTCTAATTTTATCATGGTCTCTCAAAGAGAACTTTGATGCTGGGCAATGAGTTCTCGTATGCTTAACTTATACCAAGAACAAACCAGGCCAATATAAAAAGGTGTAAGCAACCATACCCAACTGTCTCCACCCTGCAGAGAAACTTTAATAGATAAAATAGAAAGCCAGTCTTCCTATCGGCATCCCTGCTGTCTTTGTCTGGATGGGAAGGAATTGACCACTGGGGCAGGAATGGATATGTACTTCATGAACAAGTCAACAACATTGAACAGCCTTCCTCAAATCTGTGGCAAGTGTCCACTTGAGATCGGCAAGATGGCATTTCTCTCTAGGGAACTTAAATAACAGCCTCAATGCAAAGACATAGCATTTGAGGGATGGTCTTAATGTACATCCAATGTCCCATGTTCTTTGTTTTTTTCTTTTTTTCGTCCCATGTTCTTTGGAACAAATTTTCAGACCTCATTTTTCTCATTCTTCTCATTGCACATAGAGATGTCTTTGCTGAAATACATTAAGGTTATTCCTAGACTTTGTGGAAAGTGAACACAAGAATCATTCCCTGTTATGGTTTTATGTTATTTAAATTGCTTGTTCATTCACTTCAGGCTGTGTGCAAGGTATAGTGGTAAATATATTTGGAGATTCCCTGAATGCCCTCACTCCTCCCCCACTTTGTTACCCATATGGTCCTTATAGAGACCACATTCTGTGGGGTAAATTCTTATGTACTTTGTTCAAGGAAAAAGTTCTATCTTTGAAGATAATTTTTTTTTTTTACTTTCTTTTGTCAGAAAATGGAAAGTATGTCATAATGTGTTTTTTCTGCCTCAACTGCCAGAAAACTTAGAGCCAAATTTGAGTTATAAACTTATCTTGGGAGCTTGGCAACGCTTCTCTTTCTACTTTCTTTAGTTGGTTTCTGTTCTGTTTTTATCCCTAATTGACCTATTCTACATTTTTAAAATTGGAAGCTACTGTAAACATTTTTGGGGGAAGAAATGGCCATTTGTTTTCTTGTGCATTTGAGTTGCATATACTATGTCCTTGAATTATCCTGGGTCTAATGAGATGGAATAATTGGCTCTCAAAATCTTTGAGATGGGAAAGTATGCGGAGAGCAGAGTGAAACAGTGGAATAGATCAAAGGGTTTTGGAAAATGGTTCCTGAAAATGCTCTAATGTCATCACTATTTGTCAGCTTATGGCAGGCTGATCATGAAGTCTTTTGGAAATGTCTTAATGATGGGCTTGCAACTGTGTCCAAAGAATTCAGATTTGGCAGGCTAGTTCATTGTGAGTCTCTCGTACCTTGGAGCATGAGGGGCACTGAGCTGTTTCATGTCTGTGTGGTGTTTTTCCTCAGCTCGATTTTACTTTTTCTTGCCATTTGTCATAAATTACCCCATGCTAGGATCAACAAAAACAGATCTTTCCACCCCCTACTGAGGTAGCCCTCGGTGATTGGCTGCTGCTGGCCAGGGTCTACCATTCAGGTCTTTCCAACCCGAGAACTTTGTTAGAATTCTTGTTCTACTCACTTCCAGAGTAAATACCATAGGTGGTCAGGAGCAGAAATGCCTTCCTCCCAGTCTCCAGGTTTAGGACTCCCATGGTGTCTGTTGATAACCTAGGTGATAACATGGGGAGTTTTGAAATAATTGAGCTGCTAAGGAGAAAGGTGCTTATAAATTTCAAACACTACACAGAAATAGAAATGTATAAAAACTTTACTGGTTAAAGAGTAGATTTCTGATGGTTTTTTAAAAATTTTATTTATTTATTTATTTATTTATTTATTTATTTATTTATTTGAGAGAGAGTGAATGGAGGCACAAAGGGGCAGAGGGAGAGGCAGAGAGAGAATCCCAAGCAGGCTCCATGCCCAATGTGGAGCCTGATAGGGGCCTTGATTTCACTACCCTGAGATCATGACCAGAGCTGAAATCAAGAGCTGGATGTTTAACTGACTGAGCCACCTGAGCAGGTGTCCCTTTGCTGTTTTCCTACATAAAACAGGGCTATATAAATTGCTCTTCCCAACTACAGTCAGTTTCAAAATTTTGCCTTTTGAAAGGATCAGCTCATGCTTTGTGTATTATGGTAGGAGAATGGCCCTTTAGAGAGCCACAGAGAAGGTACGTCTGGCTCTGAAGACCACTCTGCTTTCTGTTTTCACTGAACATGCACTTAATCAATGAGATTGCTTAAACATAAAATTAAATAATATTTTAAACCATTGTATTTATTTGAGGCTGGAGGCAGTAATTACCCTTATTCTGAAAAACGTATCCATCTTTGGGAAAGTGCAGATGGAAGTTTGTAGATAATGATACTGCTTGATGACTGGGCTAGCATTAGTTTCTTCTGAAGATCACAATTATCAGAATTGTATGTGAATATGTGCTTGGAAGTTTCCAGCTATAGGAGTCTTTCATCCAAGCTGAAAAAAAAAATCCAATTTTTGGTGAAAACAATCATTGATATCAATTTTGATGCAATCCAAAATCTTATAATACCAACAACTTGTATTTTATAATTTTTTATTTATTTATTTTTAATTTTTTTAAAAATTTTTTTATTTATTTATGATAGTCACAGAGAGAGAGAGAGAGAGAGAGGCAGAGACACAGGCAGAGGGAGAAGCAGGCTCCATGCACCGGGAGCCCGATGTGGGACTCGATCCCGGGTCTCCAGGATCACGCCCTGGGCCAAAGGCAGGCGCCAAACCGCTGCACCACCCAGGGATCCCTTTATAATTTTTTAAAAGATTTTATTTATTTATTCGTGAGAGACCCAGAGAGAGAGGCAGAGACACAGGCTCCATGCAAGGAGCCTGATGTGGGCCATGGGCCTCGATCCCGGGACCTCAGGATCACGCCCTGGGCTGAAAGCAGGTGTTAAACCACTGAGCCACCCAGGGATCCCCAACAACTTGTATTTTAAAAAGAGTGTTTTTAAAGCACTGGCACTCATACATGAACATGAGCATTGTGGGAGGATCCGGAAGGATTCTCTACATTCAGAGGGTCTTTAAAGGGTGGGTATAACACGCATAAGGTATGTTGTTTACTAACTGATCACAGTAGATGCTGAAGTGGACTGAGGGAAGTGCCTGATTATGCAGTGAGGTATATGTTATCAGCCCCATTTACAGCATGTCAGGGACAACACGTGCTAAAGATCATGAACCACATTAATGACCCCTGCTCCTCCTCTGACCCCTCTTGGTGCATTCCTACTGTTTAGACTGGGAGGCACGCATTGACAGCCACGGCAGGATCTTCTACGTGGATCACGTGAACAGAACCACCACATGGCAGCGGCCAACAGCGCCTCCAGCCCCCCAGGTGCTGCAGAGATCAAACTCCATACAGCAAATGGAGCAGCTGAACCGGAGGTGGGATGGGCATCTTCACAATGACTGTAGTGGGGTTGGGCTTATTTTGACATGGGCCAAAGTCAAAAACATGGTTGTTTCTGTTTCATCTTTGGGTGACCTGTCATTTACCTGTAGCTGGTACCTCTTTTGATTTATAGACTTCATTGAACTTCTGTTGGTTAAAAAAAAAAAAAAAATCCACACATATGTACCACTTGTTTGAAAACTAGAGAGAAATAAGTAATGATGATCTGTTTACTCAACCCAAGGCATTGGCTTTTAGGAAAATAGAGCATATACATATATAATATGAGGCCAGATATCTTTCTAAATATTTAGAATCTCCATCATGCATCTTTATTATCCACTTAATCCTTTTAAATGTCATTCTTTTTTGAAAACTCATGACCATGACATAAAAGTTATTTTCTTTAGCAATATAAGAATTTAATTTTCTTTGGTTAAGGGGCATGATTTTTTTTAAGTTTTATTACTTTGTTAGGAAAATGTTCCACAAACAATGGACAGAAGAAATTCAATGCTTTGTAATTTACTTAAACAACAGATGGTCCAGAAGGTCATGGAATGGGCGGAGGTTTGGGGAAGAAACTCTGGCTGAAGTTGAGAAGATACTGAAAATTTCTGGGCTCTGGGGGAATGATTGAGTCCCTTGTTTTAGAGACTGCTGTGACGTAATGCTAGGCTCCTGATTTCAGATACCAGAGTATCCGCAGAACCATGACTAATGAGAGGCCTGAGGAAAATACCAATGCGATCGATGGGGCAGGGGAGGAAGCTGACTTTCACCAAGCTAGTGCAGGTAAGAGCCTTTAGGTTGGTTGGTTTGTAATTTCACAAGAGTAGAAAACAAATAATAAGGATTTCCAAGAAATGAGGTATTTGTTGTTGTTGTTTTTTAGTGAACTTTTGATCTTCAATAAGATCTGGTAATCTGATGCAAATAAAAGAATTCACCAGAGACCTCTTCTAATCCTCAACTTTTTACTAGTACTAAGAACATCACAAAACCAAATAGAAGATAAATGATTTTAATCTCTGGTCGTGTGGGATAGAGGAAAATGATTGAGTCTGATCGCTTAAACCATCTAAGGATGCATTAAAATGTAAATAGTGGCTAGAAAAATTCAATTCCATTTTAGTCAGGTCTTACCCATGAATTTACATCAAAGGAAAGAGTGTGTGGAGGATGAAAATAATAGTAAATTATATAGATATTCTTTGTTTCTTTTAAAACATGTTTCCACTATGTGGAAAGATCTCCCTGAAAGCCTTTATGGTCTGCCCCTTGTAGATTTCCGACGGGAAAACGTCCTGCCTCACTCTACCTCCAGATCCAGGCTCACGTTGCTGTTACAGTCACCCCCCGTGAAGTTCCTCATCAGCCCAGACTTCTTCACCGTGCTGCATTCTAACCCTGTGAGTATCCAGTCCGAGAGTTTGCAATGGAAAAAGGGACAGGCCAGAGGAAATTATCCTTACGAATGTTATGGGAGAATGACAAGAGCTGTTGACTGAGCACTAAGCATGTTCCAGGGTCTGTGTTAAGTACTATAGATGCTAATCCATTGGGTCCAAATAAACCTCTGAGATAAAATGTCCACTTTTCCAGATAAAGAACCTGAAGCATAGAGAGGTTAAATAACATTCCTAAGATACAGGCTTCCAGTTATGGAGTGAATAAATCCTGGGAATAAAAGCTATAGCATTGGAAATAGAGCCAGTGGTATTGTAATAGCATTGTGCGGTGACAGATGGTCACATAGTTGTGGTGAGAAAAGTGTTGTCAAATCACTATTGTATACCTGTAATGTAATTTTGTGTGTCAAGTATGCTTAAAACAAACAAACAAACAAACAAAAAATATTCCTAAAGTTCTATACCTACTAAGTGGTATCGTTGGGGTTAAAATCCCAGAGATACTAACTTCAGAGGCTATGCTCTTACTGATCACCTTATTTTGCCTGCAAAAATGTAGCTAAATATCTGAACATTGACAGCAGGCTGTGGTTAGATCGGCCTTTGAGATTGTGGTACATGTTCTCTGAAAGAGAAAGGGAAAGTATAAACTTTATACATTGCTATAACCTGAAAATAAATTAAAAATAAAAGCTTATTTTAAAGATATATGAAGTTTATATGGAAGTTCAGAGTTTTATTTTTGGAAGAGAGAAGCATAGTGATGTGTTTAGAAATGAAATAGATTTAAATTTTTGTCCTTTACTAATGTGTCTATTGTTTAGAAACCCTACCTCTGTGATTTTGCTATAGTCCTAAAAATGTTAGTATCAACCAAAGAGTCTTTTGTTAACCAAGTGATTATAAAAATTTAGTCTTTTAGCTATTATTCTAAATAGAGAAAAATCATTTTGACTCTCTCCTTCCTTTTTTTTTTTTTCCATTTCCTCCAGGCCTGACTACTAACCAAAATTCTACCCTCTTTCCTGATCTTGGTTCCGTAACCAAGAAACCCCTCATGCATACCCTCCCTCTGTTTAAATTCTCAGGACAACCAATCCCTCTAATTCTACTTACATGCCCCCTTCCCACATTTATTTTGGAGCTAAACCTGGATTGAAAAGTTTTTATTTTACTCAGGAAGTGTTAACCTCCTGGAAGCACTACAGTTTATGAAGTCCATAGGGTGCCAGTAAAGAATGTCACACTTATTTTTTGGTCATGAAGCATGATTTTTGTCTAAAACATTTCTAGAAAAAAAAGAGAAGGATTTTAAAATATTAATTAAACCAAAACTGTGTCTGTGTGTGCAATACAAAAAATAGAATCTGAAAGGAAAGCATTTTGGTTAAAAATAGTTTGGTTAGAAAGCATTCCTTTGTGATGTGAATCTTAAATTGTCACTAAATAAATAATGGATATCAGTTGGTACAAATGGCATGGGAGGACCTTCTCAGTGGAGGATATGCATGAGCAAAGATGAAAGCAAAAAAATGTGTCCTATATGCATATTGAGTTATTTCATTCATCCAATAAATAATACTGAAAATATGATCTATGTTAGAAATTATGTCAAGTGCTGCAGACACGGTGAGGAATAAGATCAAGATCTTCTCCTAGGGTGGACAGAGAATAAGGGCAACTTTAGAAAGATGATTGCAGAATGCCTCTCAGAAGAAATAGTTTTGAGTTAAAAGCCAAAAGATTAGAAATCATCAACCATGGAAAAAGCCAAAAGAAGCTCATTTCAAGCAATTGAACCAGCAAGTGCAAGGACTCCAGGGCTCAGAAAAGCGGGCAGAGGGGCTACTCTGCTGCGATAGGAAGGGTGAATAGTGTGATATTAGGTTAGCCACATGTAAGCTGTTGTAAAATGTCAAGAAGCCAGTAGGGTAAAGGTCTGGGAGCAGAACCTTATCAAGGAAAAGCAAAGGCTCGAAGGCTTGATTGAGTCTGATGTGGTATATAATTAGGTCAGATAGGTGAGCAGGGCTTCAGAAAGTAGGGCTGATACCATCTGGCAAAGAGTTTGGGCTTTATTCTTGCTGGATTTATTCTAAGGGGATTTCCTGTAGGAGTAATTTCAATATTTAAAAGATTCCTTCTAGCTGCTTTTCTGAGAATGAGTTTTAGAAGGCAAGACTGGCATCAGGGAGACAAGTGTAAAGGCCCTGTGGTGAGACATAAAAAGAGCTGAGACCAACGCAGTAGCAGTAGAGATGGTGACAAGTGGATGAATATGGGACATGTTTTGGAGGAAGGGCAGACATTCTTGCTAATACTTTAGAAGGTGGGGACAAGAGAAAAGAAAGGCTTCCAGAAAGAGCAGTTGATTGGATGGTAGTGTTCAAGGGTTTGCTGGTAAGTGTTCAACAACAGCTCTGGCAAAAGTGTGTGTGTGTGTGTGTGTGTGTGTGTGTGTGTGTGTGAGATCTTACAAATTTTATTAAGTAAAGGATATCTAGCACACAATTTACAAGTAATAATAAAATATACACAGAATGCTTTTGTTGCTTTTTGCTGAAGTCTCTTATCAGTCGCCAGCCTACGGTTGTAGTTTACAGACAAGTCTAGTTCCAACATGAAAGTTTTCATTTACATTAACCATTAAGACTACAGTGAAGTAGGGAAGACGCAAGTCGGAGCTTCATAGTCCTGTGTCAGTGAGGTCAGTAGTATCTTCTTTTTGAGCCAGATAATAGTTTTTGAACATTGGACTTGTATGTCTTCGTGTGTGTGTGTGTGTGCGCGCGCACGCTGTATATAGTGTAACAGCACAATGTGAAGTTTAATCTGTACTATTATCATTTTATTTTCTCCAGCAGTTTAAGTCTAGACTTTACATCTAGAAAAAAGTAGCACTCTTTTGTAAAGGCCCAGAAATCATTTTCAGCTTCTGAGCCAAGGGCGGCATGTGAACAAATGGACGTGGCTGTATCTCAAAAAACTTTGCAGACACAGCCAGCGAGCCGACGGGTCTGAAGTTTGCCCACACCTCCCCTAGACAGCCCACAAAATCATATCAAGGCCTGGTTTGCATTTACTGATTTCTGTAATGTTAATACTGCCAACTGTAGCCAATTTTAAGCTACCAGTGTGACCTCGCCAAGCACCGAGTTGTAACTTGTCAATACAGGCTGTCTTTTTGGGTACAAGTTTCTCATCACTGCATTGGTTCAAGTAGAGGCTGTGTTCACAGTTACTGGGTTGTGGTAAAAGGCTGTAGATCTGAAACTTGGTCAAGTTCTATAAATAAATGCATATTCTTGGTTCCCAGACCTTTGAGACCTGGTTCATTAGGTCTGGAGTGGGCCCCAGGCATGTGTTTGGTTGGTTAATTGATTGGTTCCTTAAGTGATTCTGATATAATTGGTCTACGACCTGTAGCTTGGGAATTTCTAGAATAAGGAGATGTTGCGGTAAATGATCCCACTGCTTTTGTCACAACAGTAACACATCTGGACTTCTGACACTAACATATTTTAACAGTGTGAAAATACTCAGCAGCTTAAAGGTTTTTTTTTGTTTCTTTTGTCTTCATGTTTTCATTATTTTTCCCTTTTCTTGGGCAGGAAGAACTACTTTTGCTGGGAAGCCAATCTTGATTTTTAAGTATCCTCTCTAAAGCATTTTAATTATTTTTCTCCTACCTGAACTGTCTTTCTTCATTACTGGCTACAAAGATGATCCATGCTGGGCATCTATGCATTTGTGTAAGATTTAAATTATGTTGGGTTTTTAGGAAGTCTGATTTCCCTGACTTATCTACAGCAAGAATTAAAGCAGCTGGTTCTATCTAGTTAATGGTCTCAAGGTATGAATTTATGGGAGTAAGTTGCATGGTTTTTTTGTAGAGGGCATTACTTATGGGATCTCTTCTTTTTCCTAGATTATGTAACAAAATATTATGAAACAAACTTTTTTGGTTTCCTTATTTTAAGATTTATTATCTAGTCTTTTTTTTTTTTTTGCTTTAATTGTTTATTATCAATAACTGGTTCAGTAGATTCCCTATTTATATTATTGAACATGTTCAACATACAAAAGAAGGGTATTAATTTAAAAGCTTTCCTAATTCTTTTTATGATTTGAAGATAATCAGCTTATATTAAAAGATAGTCATGAAAATAGAGTTCATATAATAGTAACTTAATCATTTTTATTGAAAATAATGAAGATGGGGATCCCTGGGTGGCTCAGCAGTTTAGCGCCTCCCTTCAGTCCAGGGTGTGACCTCCGGGTCCCAGGATAGAGTCCCACCCACATCAGGCTCCCTGCATGGAGCCTGCTTCTCCCTCTGCCTGTGTCTCTGCCTCTCTCTGTGTCTCTCATGAATAAATAAATAAAATATTTTGAAAAAAGAAAATAATGAAGTTAAGTAGATATACAGTTGTCATAACTCTAAAGGACAACTTGAGAAACAAAATACTGTTTTTTTGAAAAGTTTTTTTTCATTTTTTTTGCATAGTGGTTGCTCTAAGATGTATAGTACTGCCCTCTGCTGGTGTGATCAGATTTCTTACAAAATTGTATTCATAAATGAATTCTGATAACTCAAGATTTAAGTATTAGTGTCATGGCTTTTATGGTCATGGTATGCCTGTGTTTGTCTAATTAGCACAATACAAAATAAGTCTCCTAATACATAACTGAATAATGTTTCCAACATACATGCCAAAAACTATTATTCTGGCTTTTATTAAGCTGTAGAAATACATTAATTCCACCATTTAAACTCCTTAGTACTCAATGGAGAAAAATACATAAATTTATTCTTACAAGTCAAGAATTCCTGCTATTGCAAAATAGATGAATTGATAGTTTACAATTAGTTTTGCTAATAAGTTAAATTTCCCTCCATTTTAATCTTTAGCTAGATGAAAATAATGTAAAAATCCCTTATGATTATCTTACAGACTGTGTAAGATAGGACTATTTTCATATCCTCACATATATCATATGGAGACAATGCTACTTGATTTTGTTTATAATAAATTTTGTTCTGTGACTCAGATATATGAATGCTGAGATCTGCTCCCTTGTGAATATGAGAGACATTCACTGTAGATGTAGTGATATTTTCCAAGTGTGGATTCAGAATATTCTTTTTATTTTGTTTAGCTTTTAAAGATTTATTTATTTGAAAGAGAGAGAGAGAGAGAAAACGTGAAGGAGTAGGGGGAAAGGCAAAAGGAGAGGGAGACAACTGGACTCTTCTGAGCAGGGAGCCCAGTGAGGGTCTTGATCTCATGAACCTGAAAACAAGACCTGAGCCGAAGCAAAGATTCAGACACTTAACTGATTGAGCCACCCAGGCGCCCTTCAGAATAACTATTTTTGATGAAGGATTTATGAACTATGAAAGATAGATTTTATTTAGCATTGATGTATTTATGTTAATGAAAATAACAAAATTAGGTAAAAATCAAAATTAGGCCAGGTAACCCCAGACGTATGGTCACCATAACACTAAACAAAAGAAGAAAGAAAAAAGCAAGCAAGCAAGCTGCCAGAAAAGGCAAAAAAAAAAAAAAAAAAAAAAAGATTATCACTTGCGTTGAGGTTGATTGATAAGAAATGAGTATTTACATATAATGTTCTTATTCTGCTGCCAAATGGCAATAACATCCTCCTCAACTCCTCTCAATATTTTTCATTTCTAACACCTCAAAACACTTAACCAAACAAAACACATTAAACTCTAAGGAATGTTATTTTAACAAAATTCCGCTAAAGAAGTTCAGTTGATCATTCACTCAACCATCAGGTGTTCATTTCTTGCATAGAAAACAAGAAACAACCAAGAATAAGGTTAGGAAAGGAATTTTGGAATAGAGAAGCAGTAACTAAGGAGGACCTCTGAAATCACATGAGAGATCATTTGAAGGAGTTCCATCTACTAGTAACAGTTGCTGAGTCTCCAACTACTGCTGGTGACTCCACATGCAACAGCTTCCCAGACGGGATCATTCCATACTCTACCACCAGACTTCATCACGTTATGAAATAGGGCCCGTTTGTTCTTTCCTAATCGACTTTGGTTTCAGATAGAAAGTCACCTCCACTTATTGCATCTTTTTCTATGAGACCAAAACAAAACAACAGCCCTCACTCAGAGCCACCCAACGACCGAGGGAGAATCAAAGGCTCTTCTCCCTTAACCCACAGCTTTGTCAGAGTCAGCTTCCAGGGAGACTGAGCTCTTGTAATCTATTTTCACCTGGTTAGTGTTTCTCGAGTGTTGAGACCCCTCTCATCTGCAGCTCTTGCTCGTTCTGTGTGTCAGTATTTTCACTGCTACTGTGGCCTCTTTGATTTCCAAACTCCACTTTCTGCCTCCAGGGAACCTCTTCCTCCCACCTTTCCCTATAATGTTCCTTCCCATCCTTTTGAATGACGGGGCTGTACTCATCTCTGTATCCTCGGGGTTTAGCACAGGGCTTGTGACATAATTAATGAAAGGTTATGAAAACCTTCTTTAGTTAATAGAAAGTGGGATGCTGGCCCACAATCTTCAAAGACCTCAGAAGTAGAAAACAATTTTACTGCTATCATTTATCTGTTAGAACATAGGTATGATAGGTATAATCCCTCATATATTCTATTACTTACTTCTACTCTGTATTTTTTTGTGATTTTTATCTCTTCAAAGCAGTTTTACATCCTTTGTTTCTTTGGATTTGAGTCTCGTGTACCTATGAAGAAAGCAGACCAGTTATTATTATTCCGTTTTACAGTTGAGCAAAGATTTAATCTCTGAGGCAGAGATTAAATGATTTTCTTTGTCTCTGTCCATGAGTGACAGGGCTGTGACTAAAATCTTCATTGTAGTTCTGTATGAAATGGAGTATAAATATTCCTTCTGAAGTACATGTATATGTATACATACACAGATATACAATTACATGTATAGCTGTATATTAAAAATATTGTATATACTTAAAACAAAAAAACAAAATAAACATGTATATAAACATACATAAATATGTCACATGTGTATATACCTAAACACATATGTAAATAAATATATACATAAATATGTATATATTTAGTACATAAATGTGTATATATTTAGTTCCTTATAAAAATGTATCTGTCTGGAGGGATGTTCCTGTTTGCCTTAAGGGTTTTATATGGGCACTTGCAGTCTTGTGCATGTTATTCAGACTTGAACAAGCTGTGGTTCCAAAGATCGTTTGCTAGTTACTAATAAGAAATCTTTCTTGCATTTACTTTACTTTAGTAGATACTTTTTTCATGGATCGCTCGAACTTGGCGCTATGTTCCATGTCTTACTGAGAGGAGAGGAGGAAAATGAGAGGACATAATCAATTATAAGACTGGCCTTAAGTCTCCTGAACATAAAGTGCTGTGCAACCCCAGGGAATTACTTCCCGCGTGGGGCTGGGACAGGTTCCTTCACCTAATTACTTCTTCTTGACCTAATAAAGTTCTGTTTCTTCTCTTCAGCAGAATGAGGAGCATTTCTGGTGCTCCAGATGAAGCATCAGGATGTGGCCTATTTACTTATATTAATGGGGGAGGGGGGAGAGGAAGAACTCAGGAGGACCAGGAGATTTACCTATTTAGAACAGTTAGTAGAATGGTTTATCTGGCAAAATTATCCCACAATCATTTGTCCCCAGAGAGACTGATCAGGGACTATGACTTGAAAGCTCGTTGCCAACCACCACTCAAGCTAGTGTGGTCTCCAGCCTCTAAGCTTGCAGTGGCTTCTGTGAAAATACATCAGCAGCACAGAGCCAAATGCAGAAAACAGATGCCTTGCTGATTGTGCATAAAACACCAAGGCAGGGTCAGCCACAGGCTAAACTATTAGTTAGCTAACGTTCGTCTCCGACAGCCTTCAACTTCTTTTATTAGTCTCCTTCTCTGCTTTCATGGTATCACTTTCTTATTCTCTCATGCTCTCTAATTGCCCCACGCCCCTGCGTAGGCTTGCCTGCTTTGGCATTGCGCTGCGCTCTGAACCTCACAATTTCTCACAGCCATCAAAACCTCCTCTCATTTAGACTGTCAGGTTGAAATAGAACCTCAAAGTATTTTATACTCCAGTGTACTGAGGAATTAGTGCACTAGTACTGAGGATAGTTCACTGTGGCCTGCCTGCCTGCCTTCCTGCCTCCCTGCCTTCTTCCTCTCTCCCTTCCTTTCTTCCTTTTGTTTTGATAGGGAAGAAATATTTTAGTAAAAAGTATATGATGATGGAGAAGCAATCAGGAAAACTGTAAACAGTTATTTTATATAGTTGAGGCTGTCAACAGAAACTTAACAAATCTCGGTGGCGTAAGCTGACAGAGGTTTGTTTCTCATTCCAAATTGGATTATCAAGCTTCTCTGATCGCTGTCATCACTCAGGGATCCAGGGACCTAGACTGGGGAGCAACCACCATTTCAAACATCACTGGTTGCTGTAATAACCATGCCAAAGGGAAGAAAGCTCTAGAAGGACTCCCATCATCAATAATTGCTTTGACTGGAACATGACACATCTTGAGGGATACTGGACAGACAGGAACGATGTTAACTGTCCTCAGTAACTACCACAGTACTGGGCATAGGAAACACAGTAAATGTTTATTAAAATGAAATTATTTCCAGAGATTCTGATTTCGTTTGCCTTTCCTTTGGTCTATCTCAAACTGAAATAAATTAACAGAACCCCTGAAGTAAAGCCTGAAGGCCTCCAGACTCAATCTGGTGGCCCTGGTATACTAAAGGTAAGAAGAATCATTTGAATCTATCTGAGAAGAATAGAATTCCAGAATAGATCATTTATACAGTTATTTCTTTCCTACTTCTACTTCTTGGCACATGATATGATGCAATGAGTGTTTGTTGACTAACTTGTATGTGGATGGCCTGTGGCTTATGGCTAATTTTTGGAATCCCTTTTAAGTATCATAGAGATGAAGACAATAGCATTTTTCATAAGACAGTCACTTTTTTATGTGGTTGTATAGTGGAGTTTTATTTAACATGCATTTCAACTGTATAAATTCAGCCATATGTATATATACATACATACACAACACACACACACACACAGAGAAAAAGAAAAAAAAATACGTATAAAGCCCGGGCAGGTCTGCCTGCCATCCCATTCACCGAGATTATGCCTCGAAGAAGGTGTAAGATGAAAAACTTTTATCTACTGTGGTATCAGTTAAATTTGACTCCCAGTGAGAACAGCTGAGCCCATTGCATGTACTCCCGACATTCAAATAGGTGGCTAAGCATTTTTCTATATGACTTGGCTGCTAAATGATGCCAACTGCTTCGCGTGGCACTCATCCAGAGACCAGTGATCTCCTGTGGTGCTGGAGGAAGAACCAGCTATTTTGGGGCCCGCTGTGAAGATGTATATTTGTATCTGACATGGTGGGACTATCACTGTGTGGTTCTTGCCTGCAACCGAGTTTAGGACCAAACATCTCCTGTAGGATGAGATTCCATAGCAAGCATTCTTATTCATTAGAAAACTAGACAGCATCAATGAGGATGCCTTACTTTCTGTAGTCTTTCTATCTTATTTTGATCTAAATATTGTGCTCGGCCTGCTGTTTTCCATGTGTGGGTCTAGAGTAATGTTGACGCTTATATGCCCACTGGAGGACGACGGTATGTGCTCTGATGTCCTATGTGTAACATGTGGCTTTTGCAGGTCCCAGGCAGGTTAACATGGGTTCTCCATTCTTTCCTCCAGAGTGCCTACCGCATGTTTACAAACAATACGTGTTTGAAGCACATGATCACCAAAGTCCGGCGGGACACCCACCACTTTGAACGCTACCAGCATAACCGAGATCTTGTGGGATTCCTCAATATGTTCGCCAACAAACAGCTGGAGCTGCCAAGGGGCTGGGAGATGAAACACGATCATCAGGGCAAGGTAACATGAGGGAGTTGCCGTGGGGCAGCTGCTGAGAGTGGGCTCCTTGTGGCTTTGACATTGGGTCAGCCACTCAAGGGAGGGCTGAAAGCCCTTTGAGAGGTGAAACATTCCATGTCCAGGTCCACGTGAAACCTGGACAAGCAGGTTGTTTCCACAAACAGTTACTATGCTATTCTGAAATGGTGTATGGAGCCAACAGGTGCGAGGGCATTTGTTTGGCGAAGGACTCTCTTTTGCCTGAATATTCTACCTGTAATCTCGCTCCATTTTCTGCTGATTAGAGAAAAGACTCCTTAGGCCAGGATATTTCCTCCTCCTTAGCTTTACGGCTTATGTTGCAGATAGTTTATTTAAAAGTTGTGGTATTGTTTGGGGAAGGTGGCTAGGTCAGCAAGCAACTACACAACTACATTGTGGCCTCAGTGTTGTTGGTTCAGAACCCCGATTTTGTTACCATATTAAACCCGCCGCACAGATTAATTCAGGTATGATGAGAAATACAGAACAGTGTCACATAGCCCAGAGTAACAATGTCTACACTTCCGTCGTAGATAGATGCACCAGAAACCTGGGTTGTGATCAGAAAGTGGTTATAAGTAAGAAATCTAGAATGAGAAAGTAATTTTTATAAGATGTTTCTCAGCTAAGGTTTTATTTATTCAGCTCTGGTTTAGAAACTACTATGGGCCATGAACTGTTTCAGATCTTTATGCATTTTAGCTCCTCACAATAACTAGGTGAGGCAATGCTATTATTATTAATGACATTTACAGATAAGGAGCTCTTGGGTTGAGAATGGTTTGGTGGCTTGCCTGGTGTCACAGGTAAGAGCAGTGACTCAGCTGTGTTCTCACCCATGCAGTCTGCTGCACAGGTCCATGTTCTTCACCACATAATGCTCTCTGTGTATTGAGTGACCAGCCTCAGTTCTCTTGGCTGTAAGAACACTTGAAATGCATGACTTGAAGGATGGAGGGGATGAAAATGACATGATATTTAAAGTATTTAGCCTTGCTTCACTCATTTGTTCAACAAATATTTATAGAGCACCTGTGCAAAAGCCAGCCTCCTTCATAGGACTGCCATTTTCATGGAAAGAGATGGAAAACAGACCAAGAGCATGCCAGGTGCTGACCAGTGCTGTGATTTAAAAAAAAAAATCAGAGGAAGGGGTCTAGAGAAACAGAGGAGTGGAGAGTTATTTTATCCAGGTGGCTAGGGAACACCTCCTGGGTAAGGCTAGATGTGGACAGAGACCTGAACAAAGTGATATATATCCATATAAAGGAAAGAGCATTCAAAGCAAATGAAATGTTTAAGTACTTGATAAATGCCATGCTCCCCCAACATAACCTCTAGCAATAGTACCACAGTAGCATCTTATGCATCTTCAGCTCGGCTTCCAGCAATCTTGTCTGAGAATCTATAACCGGCCCAAACGGATGTTACAAAGAGTATGTATTTTTAATGTGTGGGAGGAGCCCTCAGACTCTCAGTGAAACTATTGACTTGATTTCTGTAAATTTTTTTCATAAACCTGTGATTCCTAGCCCAAAGTAGATTAGAAATCTCAAACATGAAGTTGAGAACGGATGAAAGAGAATGGATTTGTGATTACGTCCCTTACAGGGAAGCCTTTCCAAGACACCAGAGGCAGGACCACCTGGCATTTCCTGCACTTTCTCCTCCCAGAGAAAGATGTCACGTTGCTGGTATTAAGTTTGGTTCAGCAGCCCGAGAGCCCAATGTTTGTAAACATTCTACTGAGTGGAAGGGCATCGAGGTCCAAGACAAGACTTTGGGAAATACTGGTGGTATTATATCTGGGTATAAAAGAGCAGTACCACACCAGGAATTCAGCTCTGTTCTCAACTCTAACAAGCTCTTATCTGTGTGTGCTCATTAGAGAGCGCTGGATCCAGGGAAACCCAAGTTGAGATAATGTCTCCTTTTAGACTTAACTTGCTGAGTCATAGTGTATCCTTCACTACAGGAGATCAAGAACTTGTGTATACACAGTGGGGCAGTCCCTTCCTGCCAGTCATAACTTGCCAGACACACTTCAGGAGAGAGCTGCTTATTAATAATCCCTGGACCTTGAGAAAAGTTTGTGTTACATTTAGGACACTATTTAAGGAGAGTTAGGATGTATTCTTAAGAACCAGTTCTGTCTCACACAGCCTTTATAAAAGTTTCTGTAGTTAAATAGAGGTAAACATTATCTCGGCTATATGAGTAAAAACACTGTCCATTTTATTCCCTGAGGGTTTCAGACTTACATGGGAGTTTCAACCTAAAGTTGTAGGCATTGTAAAGAACTTTGAGTGTGGGCTGGCAGATGGTTGACCTCTCAGTCTACTGGTGGCTTTGCTTTTGAACACTATCTGGCATGAAAGATACAGAAGGACCCCCAGCCTTGTGGACAAAATGGATTATCAGACATCCCTGGAAGCTCATCATGTTGGTCTAATCTCTCTGCTTGTGCATTAGAACTTGAATAAGATTTTTAGCTAAGTTGGACCCCTTAACTTAAGCAGGTATATCTCCCTGTGATTCCCACCCCCTCCACCCCCATTCCTTCCTTTACAAATGACTGGCTTCCAGTGAATGAAAATAAAGGATCATTTGGGAGAAGCTTGTGCTCTATATTGGGCTGCACAGCTTTTGAGTGCATTTTAGAAATCATAGTTCTCATCCTTCAAGGTTGGTAGATTTTCTTCCAGTCTTGACATTTTAGCTTCCCTTTTTAATGATTACTTTGCTTCCAGAATATTTAAAGGGAGTAAACTTTTTTTCCCACTTAACATAACATCAAAAGCTACTAAATACTGCAAAGTTATTTTCCCACAGTGATGACTGATTTCAGAATTGACATGGAATACGATATCCAAATCCTCAGCTACGTGAAAGGAAATGCTTCTTCTCAGGGGGAATGCTCTCAAATTTAGCTCTTCAGACTTATGAAATCTGGCTCCATCTTCTCTTCTCAAGCGCAACATTTTCTTTTCCTGTTTTCATTTATTTAGTCATTCAGCCACATTCCCATACTTCTGAATGACTCATATATGCATGCCACTGTGATAACAATGATAAAAGCTAACACTCAGTGTAGCGTTAGATAGTATGTCACACTGACTGTGTGTAGACACTGTTGTAAGGACTTAGATTAATTCCTGTCTTGCTCACGGCAGCCTTGTCAATAACTGCTGTTTTTAGCCACATTTTTAAGAAGTGGAAACTAAGGCAGAGCATGGTTAAGTGCATGGACTAGGGTCCCACAATTAGAAAGTGATAGAATTGGATGTGAACCCAGGCAGTATAGCTGCAGGCTCCTCTTATCCTGCCTTTTACCAATGAGTAGAGTGGATGGATGTCTTCCAACAATCATAGGGAAGGTAGTAGAAGGTGCTATGGGAGCCTGTGGTAGGATTTCCTACCACTCTTGAGAAGATGAGGGCTTTCAGATGCATCATTGGAGGGCAGCTTATAGTATGAGTTGCAGCTAGCAATCCAGACATGAGAAATCAGTTTTTCCTTGGATCCCCACATAATTTCCCTTGCATTGTTCTCATGACATCTATCCACATCTGTCTCATGCTATATTGTTAACATGTTTTATCTTTCCAAGCAGATGATCTCCTTCTTTATTTATTTTTGATTACCCCCTCTTCTACCCCAGTACCTTTCATATAGAAGGTTCTCAAAACAAGCTTGATACATGAATGAAATTTGTCACCTGTAGTATACCCAGTTTTTGTCATCTTTGTCTTGGACAGATGAAGACTCCCTCTCACTCTTTCCTCCTCCTGTGCTATCACCAGAAATAGCTCCTAGATTTGCTCCATTTGACCTCTCTTAATGTATATGTTGCCTTGGATCTTTCACAATATTTTTTAAACAAGGTAGTGATTAAGCTTGTACTGCACTTTGAGAGTCATTAGTTTTGGGAGAGAGTTTTTTTCTAATTACTTAAGGCCAGGGATTTAAATTGGGTGAATTTTCACAAAATTCTAGATCTGGTCTGCTCATTTTGGAAGTTCTAGGTCTATTTCATTGGCTCACATAAACGAATAGAAATAAAATATTTCTAATTGACTATTAACTAAACTATAAGAACAATATCAGGCTTGGTAGGTAAGATACTGATGATGATGATGATGATGATGACAATGACATTGATGATAACGATGATACCTGCATTTTTTAGACTCATACCATGTGCCAGGCACTGTACTAGGTACTTTCCCATGGGTTAGCTTATTTACACTTCCTGACAATTTATGAGGTAGGTATTATTAGTATTATTCACATTTTACTGAAATTTAGAGATGTTAAATAATGTGTGCAAGCAAGTGAGGAATGCAGGATTTGAACATTATCAGTGTGGCTTTACCACTGTTCTCTACTGAAAGGGATTGCTTTTGGAAATGAGAGATCTGTTGTCATTCCGTGGAGGAAGAGTACCAGGCCAGATGCTGGGGTTTCTAGTGTTCTGGAAGACTGAGACGTATATGTATGACTTGATTAGATCACAGGTGATCTAGCAGAGGACATACCACCAGAGACACATACATGGCTTCATGCTTAAATGCCATAGAGTTTTATGCGAGGGGTACATAGAATATTGAAATATATTCATAATAATTGTTATTATTAGATGCTAGGCTCTGTGTTAGGGATATTATATGAACTCATTTAACTTTCATAATAACCCTATGGAATAGGTTTTGCTATAGATGAAGAAACTGAGGCTCAAAGAGGTTGGTTGTGCAAGTAAACTCTTGGAGACAAGCCCATGTCTTTTTATATCCAAGGCCTATAATGGTTTTTCTATATAAGATTAGTCTAGACCTCACTGGCCACTAACCACTTGAGTAACTTAAAATATGTCATTTAGATATCCTGGATCTGAGTTTCCTTATCTCTACATATGTACAGGTTGGTCATCTTTTCATATACCTATTGGTCATTTGTATATCTTCTTTGGAAAAATTGTG